TACTTTTTGGAAAAATTTTTTAATTAGGTAAGATAAAGCTTCAGTAATAGTTAGTGATATGTCTTTTCATAAACTCAATTTGATACAAAAATTTATTTAAGACATAATTAGTAAAAAAAATTTCTGAAAATATTTTTATTACGGCCTAAAAAAAATGTTCTTTAATATATTTAAAAAATATCTCTTTACCAATTGAAAAGCTTGATGTTTTATTTATTATACTGATAATGATAATAAATGAAAAGAAACAGTCTACTTTTTTTTTATTTTTTTTTTTTCAAGTAATTTATTTTATTGAGATCGGGTTTTCTCACATCTATCAAACTTCGTCTCTTATCCAAAGTGTCAGACATTTACTGATAAGAATTTTAATCGCAACAAAGCTTAACGTATCGCAAGTCTTTTAAAACTGCGGTTGTATTAATGTTCGAGATAAAACGAGTAAAGAGAGAGTATTGTATTATTAGAGAGTATTTAAAATAAAATAAAGGTGGTGATGATGATAAAAAAGTAAAATAAAATGATAATAACAATAAGTAATGAGAAGGAATAAAATAAAAAATGTATAAGATGAGTTGGCTTAACGTTGAGCAAAGAATTTTCCCCTTGAAAGCGTCGTGAAGAGAGATTAACGAGACATGGGCGTCGGGACGCCTCACTCACGGTAATAATTTTCCAAAGTGTATCGAAAATTTGTATGCTCGCAATAGCACCACAGGCAATACGAGTGAAAGAAAAAAAAGTTTTTAAAATTTTTAAATTGTCATGTACGAATAATCCCGGTGCTGTGATTGGTTATTTCGACATTAAATTATCCGTAGAATTTACATTCTGTGGAATAAATATACGTATTCAGGGAATATTTAGACAAAGAAGTGTTAAAATAAAACACTTAAATTACACGTTCAATTTTTACTGGCAGACTTTCGGTAGTTAAGGCTGTAGGTGCACTTACAAATAATCGTCTGGTTTTAAAAAATAACTTGGCATAATATATGTATATGTATGGATAACGAAAAAGAATAAGAAACAAAGAGGATATAAATATTGGAGCGCATCATCGTTAATCAAGTAAATCTATGCGCTATCTTGAGCCAAAAAATTTAAGCAATTTTTATTTAAAATAAATATCAGAGCCACTGAAAAAATTACATAGTCTTTAAATTTGTAGGTGATAAAAATATAAACCAGCTAATGTCTTACGTACAAAGAAATAATAAATAAAATAAATATATTAAAGAAAAATAATCAAGTAGTCCATTTCAATTCGACCTTGAATCACCTTGTGACCTATTCATACGTGACGAATTATAATCAGGAAACAATTATTGATCGTCAGTGTGCCAAGATCGTGTCGATAATATATATATATATATATATATATATAGGTATAGTATATACATATATTTATATACGTACTGAATGAGTAATATGTTATATATATTAAAGACTTATTACTTATTTGTGTAGTATCTCACTGTAAAAAATTTCTGGTCTCCAGGTGGAATAAAAACTTTTAACACCTATTAATAGCTTAACAGTACAAGCGTAACATTATTAAAAATGATTTATTTTTTAATGCATTAGTAAAAGATTTAGTTCCTTATAAAATAAACCTCTTATCAATTCTGTAAAATATTCTATTTTTGAGAAAGAATTCAAGCTAAAAATAAAAAATAAAAATTCTTCCGAGTAGCTTATTAAAAAAAAAATTAATTAACAAAAATTTTAAATAAAAATTGAGAGCAAAGTATTAAAACGTTGAAATTTGTTTTGTAGAAAATTGAATTTTTATTTCGTTGTAATGCATGGAACAGAATTTAAATTAACAGTAAAAATTCAAAAGATTTATGTGTGGACACTTGAACATATAATTACGAGCTTTTAATTAAAAATTGAGTACTTAAGACATTTTACACCGTTTTATTTTACATCAAGTTGATTGCTTAAAATTTTTGAAACCATTTCAATTTTTCTTCAGTGTATGTGAAAAAAAAAAAGTAAAAAGGAAAGAAAAAATGTATACATATATATAAAATAGATCGTATACACGTGGAGACTATCATCAAAACGGTTAGGATTTTTGGGGTAGGTAATAGTGCAGACGATTTACGATAAAACCATTGATTCGATGAGCCAACTTTATCTCCGAAAGATTCTCCCTCATCGTATCTAATGACCCAAAAGGCCTGAGGGAAGAATGAAGGAGATAACGAGAAAATTTTCATAGTTATCCTGATGTAAGAAAATAAAAATCTAAAAAAATAAAAACAGTATAAAATAAAATGGAAAAAAAAAAAAAAAAAAAAAAAAAAAAAACCAATGACGAGCAAAGGCTTACAGCCGGACTAAGAGACGTGGCTTTTCGAAATTGCATTCGACCGCTGCGGTGACCCGAGGCGTTTCTGGATCGTACGATGACGATGAGGCCAACCAGCGGTAGAAGGTGTGTAGGTGGGCAAAAGGGGGAAAAGGCGGGATGAGAGGGAACGAGCGACTACGAGCGAGTGGCCGCGGGGAGAAAGACGCCGAGAGGGAGCCAGATGAAAGAGCGAGAGGAATATTACGGGGAAGAACGCGTGGAGACCAGGTTCACGACGAGCAAAAGTAAAGAGTTAAGAGTTAAGAGTTGAGAGTTGAGAGTGTACTGTAGGGATCGCAGAGGTACAAGAGGAGAGGATCAAGTTTAAAGAAGAAACTGGTGGTCTAGCTCTCGAGAATGCTTTTGAGATGAATGAATTGATGCAAGAGTTCTGAGGAGCAACCGTGAGGTCGACAATGATGAAGAGGAAACTACGGTAGTGGTATTGCATCTTCATGTACTGGATTTTTACATGCACAAGCACATCCACATCCACATCGAGATGGAGATCTACACACACAACCCTCCTCTTCATCAGCAACAGCAGAAGCACCAACGAATGTACGCCTGTACACGCGTTACTATGCTACGGTGTCGCCTCCTCGACGATTCGCGAGCGAAACACACTCGGGAATTGGCTGATGAACACAAGAGAATACACATCACATCATTTGATATTAGATCGTTTGTTGCATTTAATACATTTACATTGTATGTTATATGTTGCATGATATCAAAGCGCCACGCATCAAGGCGTTCGCAATAAACTTAATTTATTTTTTTTTTATTTATATATACACATATTTATACACGGTGAATTATTCTCCCAACAACAATTCACTTATGTACTGGTTAATATATGCAAAAACTCTATAAAAATCTTGGAAAATGTATTTATGCATACATTATATTATGCGAATAACGTGTTAATTAATTACTAATTGTTATATTATGCTTTTTTTAAGACATATTATTTATATGACTCAACATTACGGTTAGCTGAATTTTTTATTAGGTGTAAAAGTATTTTCAATTAAAATCATTAAGAAGTAAAAAAATTTCTTACTCGATAAAATGAAAAATTTTAATTTAACTATTTAAAATAATCAATAAAAAGTTAAATATTTTATTAATTAGAGCAATTGTTATTTATTTATTAAAATAATTTTAATTTATAATAATACTATTTAATCTCTGTTTGGATAATCGGGGAATGCAAAGCCTCTGTAAAATTGGCAGCGTGACAAGTAACCGAGTTGGGTATATCAATTTAGATATCCAAAAATATTTCTAACCACTGGCTTATGTGTTAAACGTCAAATGTTGTATAAAGAAGGATGAAAAATAAAAAATTGAAAAAAAAATAAGCATTAAATAAAAAATGAAGAATGACATAAATTTAAATGCAGAAATTTAAAATAAAATTAATGCTGGGTAATAGGCGCACACTACTTATTTCTTGTAAATAAAGAAAAACGAGTTGAGATTTAAGGCAAAAAAAAAGTTTAATACCCGACAAATTATCAAGTACTTGGATAAACTCGAGTACATGTTATTAAAGTTGTATATGATGTTGTGAAAAACGATATGAGTGTCATCTTTTTCGCATTGTGTGATAAGAATGTAAGTTTCATGACGCGTTCAATGTCTCTCACGATTCCCCTTTTTGCAAAAAAAAATCTCGAATAAAAATAAAAAAATAACCCGAAGACCAGGAAAAAAATGAGGGAGTACCAAAATGACTCGACATCTGGCACGAATGAGATACACGTGTCGAGATATACGACGCTCAACCGTATCTCAAGCAATATCATGTCGACACACATATAACAAAGAATACCAAGTAAGAATGCAATAGACTAACAAGTAAAGCTCCAATCTATACTACACTAGTTTCGTCGTTTAGTTGTAATAGTGAGTAGAGCCTTTAAATTGAGTAAAGATGATGCTGTAATTAGTTGTTTAATAAATTTTATGTAAGCAAAAGACCCGCATAATCAACAAGCAAGATATTTTACTTGAATTTAACGCAAAATATTGCTAAGATATATTATTAAAATTATAATTATAATAATAATTATTATTTGAGCTATTAAGACGTAATCGCATTTGTGTTACATAAATATTTGTATATAACAAGTATATAAAGACACCTGCCTATAAATGTAGTTAAATTCTTAGCACGACTGATAGACTGAGACTAAACTCATGGCATATTAACAAAATGAAAAAAAAAAAAAACTTATCAAAAATGCAACAGCAGTAGTAAAGTATTCCTAATAATCGGGCCAACCGATTGCAGAAGCCTGGGACCTGCATATACATGTACGAACATACGCTCATACATACATGCATTCGTACATACACAAATATTATTATTATGCAAAACGTTGTATACGTTAAATATAGGATATACATTATCTGTATGCAGTGTGTTATGTGTGTTGCAAATGTGGTGGATTATTTAATGCTAATAATCGCAGTCAAACAATAGCCAACACACTAAGGATCACTGAACTTGTGTCCTTGTGATTATCTTTGTACACTTTGTTGAGATTCTTTATCATTATAACATCTGGATCGGCACAATTGTTTTTATTTAATATTATTTCATGCGATATATTTATTTATTATAGTATTACTCACCACTACACTTGACGCCAACTTTGCCAGTACCCCAAATGTAATCTTCACCTGGAAAGTTTATTTAATTAATATTTAATTGATATTTTTTATCAATACACTGTTTGTTATTGTTTTAATTGTAAAAAGTGATTAAAAGAATAAATCTTATTAACTGATTGATTAAAAAAAAAATTAAGGTATTTTTTTTTACAGAAATTTAAATAAAATTAAAATTTTAATAGCTTATAAGAAATGCTTTTGACACAATTTATAGTGATAGTAATATTTAGATGTATCGAGTATATTTATAAAAAGATGTTTAAAAAATAAGTCTCTAAAATGTCTAGTGAAAATAAACTTCCGGGTTCCATGTAGATAATAATATATAATACTTACATTGCACACATAAAATAGGCGTCACGAAGTAAACATCGACAAGATTATGTCTAAATTTATCAGTCTCCGAATTCGAGGGTCCAACTATAAAAAAAATAATATATTTGCTATTAATTTTATTGCAGAAAAATTAAACGACGCAAATGTTTTAAATTAGGGTAATAAAAAATAAAATAAAATCAACAAAAAAAAAAGTTGTAAACTTTCTAATTAATGTCTGTAATAAATAGCGAATAAAAAATTATTATTTACCATAAGGGCCATTGCTAAGTGTAACGTAGGATGACTCTTCTTCGTTATGAGTATCAAGATGAGATAAAATATTTCCTTTCAGCATTAGGAATTGTTCGAATGTACCTCTATACACTGTAAAACAGAAAATTAAAATTAGTTAATAATTTAAACATTAAAATGTAAGAAAAATAAATTAAATTAATAAAATTTACCAGGTACAAAAGCTCGAATTTATCACGCTGTCAACGTGACTATTTATCTCAAAAGATAAAATTTATTTATAAAGTTTTTTGCAATAAAAAACTCTAAAAGTTCCTTAAGTCTCAGGAAGATAATCCTGGATATGTAATAAACGGAATCCGTTTTTCATGCATCCTTTAGTCACAAAAGTATCTCCATAACTTTTTAAAAACTAAGCAAGAAAATAAACAATTAAATTTATTATCTTGCAAATACTTTATGCATTTATTTAATTACTTTATTATTAATCATTAATAATATATTGTATTGGAAGAGCGTTAACATACTTTATCAAATAATTATTTTTATTACTATTATTTTATTAGCACTCGTTGATGAAATATGCTCAGTCTTTATATAAATCATTAGAATAATTGTATACTGAGCTATTGCTCTATTTTTTAATTAATTATTATTGATGATGATAATACATCAAAGAAAATTGTTATTAAAATGCATCTATTAAAAATTATCTAATATTTTTGACAATCCTCGTGTTTCTTGTGATATTTTCTTGGATATTTATTGAGTTGTCGTATTACTTTTATTTCAAATTTATTTATTGTATCCATACAATTTTGAGTATTTGCACAACAATATGCTTTGCTTTTTTTTATTTTATTTTGTTTTCTCTTTTTAAATTTGTTTATTTAATTCACATCACAGATTGAGCATGACTTTAGTCCTGTAAATAAAAAAAATACTTTTTATTTATCACATAACAATAGTATTTCACTACTTAAATAATGATAATAATAATAATAAAATAAAAAATGATAATAAAATCAATAATGATAAAAGATAAATAAAATAGATAATATATATTTTATATCGTGCATTTAAAATTTTTATTTTATAACTGCATGTCTATTTATAATCAAGCCAAAATTGATAAAATTAATTGATTTATAAAAGATTTAATTTGATTAATCATTAATATCAATTTCATGAATCAATTTTATTTATATTTCAAATATAGATGTAAAAATTAAGTTTTTTTTTATCAAATTAGTCGGAAATCATTTTTAGAAATGATAAAGTTACAACTAATGATAGCTAAGCTGGTATAATGATATTAATTAATTTAATGAGCAAATTTATTATAGATTTGAAGATATAACTTTTTTAATTAAATTAAATGTAGTACACAAAAATATGATTTGAGAAATTAAATTTTTTTATAAAAAAAAAAAATTTACTGCAATTTAGCAGAAATCAATTAAAAATTTGCAATGCTCAAGAATTTTAAAAAGTTTACTTATTTAATTATTTTCATTGTTTTCGAATAAAACAAAAATAAAAATTGGATAAAATTATCGAAATGTCAAAATAAAATTAAAAATTTAGCGGTTGAAAAAAAAAAAATGCTCGGTTTTTTTCGGAACACATTAAAACGGCAAGGAAACTTCTGAGATGTTGATACAAAAAAATAAGGACGCGTTAATTAAACAATAAAATGTAATAAATAATCGTGACTAAATTCGTATCATAATTTGCACGGAAATTGATTTCCGTCACATGGCGGCGGATGCTACGTTAAGTATCACGTCTTTCACAGCTTAAAAAAATTAATATATATGCATCTATAAATTTATAGAGCAACTTTAAATTTCTTCCCATTACGAACGTACAAAAATAAAATAAATACGTTTGAAAATAACTGAAAAAAAAAAAAAAAAAAATTAGCGAATAGCAACAAAAGTAGCAAGCGAAATGACCAAAGAAAAAATAGTATAGATTATGTTACAATAAAAAGTTCAGGTATAAAAAAAAATGTTTTATGAATTCTTACTTTTTTTTGAAGCAATAAGTCTGATTATAAACATATACAAAGGCACACTTATTTCCTGGATCAAGTATTAGTTGCTTCAAATGGTAATTACATGAACTTAATATCTCCAGTGATAATAATTATTGTTTACCTTAATCACAACACGACGACAACTTATAACCCATGGATGGAAGGCAGTAGGAGTCACTGGCTGCATTTTTACACCATTCTTACACAAACCTACACAGATGGTTTCATTATTTCCTATTGTTTCTTAAACACTCGCTCTTTTATTTCGTAACAACCGACACCAGATGACGCCACGCGTTTCTGCTTAAATTTCGCCGCCATTTTTCGCACTCGCCCCGCGAAAGTTTCTCTTACTTTGAAAACATTTTAATCACTTTTTATTAAACACTTAAATAATTTATCAATTTAAACACTTGAATTAAGTATGCAGTTTATTTAATGAATAATTATACTTTAATATACGTTGAAATTTTTTCAAACCACTAATTAAAACAAAATAAAATTTATTTATTTATTTAATTAAGTTTTTTTTAATCACTAGTTCAATATTTTAAAAAAATTAATTGGAATAACGTCCCTTTTAAATTAAAGAAATTTTTAAAAATACTTTTATCAAAATTAAAACTTGAAACTTGAGAAATTTAAAAACTTATAATTCAATACGTTAGATAAATTTATTTGTTATTATTGATTGAATATTAACAATGCGCGTGATAAATACTTTGAATTTAAGTAACTAACGATGATTGTTTAAATTAATAAAAATACCATACGTGAACTTTGTATTCAATAAGTAAAATATGAAATCATTCTGAAGTAGTTTTAAAGAAGAATTTGACGTGACTGATATGTCTGATGCAACAGATCAACAAAACTGGATCATTTCTGCGCTTCAGCTCTGCGCAACTACGGATGACAGCTGATGTAACTTCACCTACCAAAATCCCAAAATTCATCTTGAAATATCCAATTTTAAAAACTTTCAATTATTTGACCTTACCTTTAAGCTTCAATTTACATTTTTTAATTATATTTTTAAATTTCTGTAATTGTCATTCGTCGTACATCAAAACTTTAAGATAAACATTTTATAATACTAAAGTTAGTCGACCTTTCTAATTTTTTTATTTTTTTTTTCATTTATTAAATTGGAGCAAAAAAAATATTTTTTTTAAATTGCACTTAAAGCTTTTCAAGTTTTTTACAAATGAAAATTTTTTTCTTATTTTTTTTGTAATAATTTTTTCAATAAAAAAAAATTATAAAAAATTTTAGATGTCAGCTAACTTAATTGTCATAAACATTTGAAAAATTAAAAATTTATTTCAATAAAAGCTATTGTATAAATTAATATAACTTATTTTACAAATGTTATTTTCACATTGTTAAATAATATATAATAATTTCATCTAAATTTCTATAAACATTTTTTTGACGACGAACCAAGTCTAATTATTTAATATCAAAAAGTACGAAGAAATAACAAAGTATCAAAATAATAATATTTTGTACTATACCTATTTATTGTTATAATTTAAAATATAATAGCTAAAAATAAATATAGTTCAGAGTTTTGTTTGTATTTAAGACCTCCGACTTCTCAAAAAAGAATTTGATACATCAATGAGTGTTTATGAAATGAATTTAAAAAAACAAAAACAAAGAGAGAAATACTTGGGTTTACCTTAGCAGGAAAGGTAGATACCCAAGAATAACCAGTAAGTGACAATGCCCAGTATTGTTGTTTACTACGAATAATTACGTTTACTAATTTAATTAATAATATCTGACTTTTCAAATCAAAAAGTGTAATTTTTTTATCCTCTTAGGAAAGTTTTCAATCAATTGTTACAATTTTTTAATTTTCCTAAAAAATTAAAACTACAATTTTTTTTATTATTCTTTTGTTAACCTCAAACATTTAGGCGTCTGATTCAAACAAAGAAGAATCGTCAACTTTTAAAATTCTTAGTACTTATACGATAAGCACACAATTATTTTACTGACAACATGAATCCAAGTAATATTGTTATCTTTTCTTTTATTAATTATAATTTAGTATCTGAATTTAATTAATAAGACTGACATTTATTTTTTTTTATTATGTTAACAGAAAGACCTAAACTCACGGTGATCGAGTCAAAATTTAAGTTTACAGTAGACCATATTTCGAAAATAAAAGATTCAATCTCATCACCTCAGTGTGTCATCCAGCATTTACCTTGGAATATTATTGTTAAGCCAGAGTATGAAACACAGAAAGAAAGACAACCTCTTGGACTTTCTATTATTTGTGAAGGAAATAATACAAAAAATTGGACGTGTCTGGCTGATGTTCAGTTTAGTTTATATTCCAGTAAAAAAAATCGAAGACCATTTTCCCGGCGTAAATTTTTTATTAATTACACAATTAATTATCATAACAATCTGCTGACTTTGTTTTTTTGTTTACAGAACTTCAGCATTTGTTTAGCAGTGGTCAATGCGCTGCGGGTTTTAAAAATTTCATATCTTGGCAAGATTTAACTGATCATAAAAAAAGTTTTATTACAGATAATTCTATAATCTTTGAGGTAATAAATTTATTTTACAATACACAATGAAAATTAATTTAGGATGTATTTAATAATTTTTTAAATTCTATAACAAAAAAAATTTATAAAAAAAAGTTGACATTTGAAAATTTTAAAAAATAAAAAATGCAATTTTTTAAAAATGATTTTTTTTTAAATAAAATTAAAAAATAAAAGTGATTGGTAACTTTAATGTCATCAATACGCAATATTACGAATAAATAAAATCGATATTAATTTTTTTTAATCAATAGGTTTGTGTAATACCAGACATACCTGATAATGAATCTGATGAACGTAAGTAATTAAAATTAAAATGAAAATTAAATTAGCCGACATTTGAAGATTTTGATAATTTATTTTATTGAGAAATAATTTTTAAAAAAACAAAAATTTTTACAGGTAAAAAATTTGAAAAATTATCCGTGGGATTTTTTAAAAATAGTTTTTTAGTTCTAATTTTTAATTAAAAAAAAAAAAACAAAAATTTTTGAGTGTCGGCTAATTTAATTTTCATAAAATTAAAAACTGAAAGTGATAAATTTTTATTTTTAACTTGAAATCTCTTTATTTGATATCATGATGGGAATTTTACTTTTTCAGTAAATAATTCGCTGACAGAAGTGAGATTTCGGCATACTTACAAAAATATTTTGAATATGCAAGAACCACTTACGCTAGGCCCATTTATAGCATACGATTTAGCATGGAAGATTTTGGTGAAGCCGCCATCAATCATAGTACCAGTTGAACCAAAGGGTATCGGGTTATTTTTACAGTGCAACAATGAAGTTTATTCGGATACCTGGAGCTGTCGTGCCCGAGCTGTATTAGGAATACGTTCTAGGACAGAAAAAAATGATGATACTATTTCTCGAAGTATTTTTTAAAATTATTTCTTAATTGAAATAAAATTATGAATTTTTAATACCTTTATTTGTTTGCAGCAATCGAACATACGTTTTGCAGTAAAAGAAACACAGCAGGTTGGGATAGTTTGGTGTTGTGGAAAGATTTATTAGATGCTGGTAAACAGTATATCAAAGACGACTCGATTATTGTTCAAGTAAATTTTATTAATTAATCTACAGAGCTTTGATATCAATTTATGATTATAATTTGTTTTTTTTTTTTTTTTTTTTTTTTTTTTTTTTTTTGGACTAAATTAAATAAATACTTTTTACAGGCTCACGTTTCTCCAGAAGAGTTTAATTTATGTGGTAAGAATAATTTTTTTTTTTAATTCATTGTATTTCATTTTAAATAATTAATTCCATTTTTACAGCGTATTTAAGCGTACGGGAAGCAACATTTTGGTTTACAGTAAAAAATATTTCGACATTAAATGAAATTCAGTCGTCATTGCCATGCTTTATAGCAAATATGCCATGGAAAATAAGAATAGGTCCCGTTAAAATCAACGGACAGAAGTCACTCAGTTTCTTTTTAAATTGTAACGAGACGAACAACTTAATAGCATGGAGTTGTAATGCCGACGCGGAATTACGTATTCTTCCTTGTAATGATGACCAGAAACCTTTTACCAGAAAACTGTTTCCAAGAATTTATTCAGTTGGACATGATAGCTGGGGAACTAAAAACTTCATAATGTGGGATGATTTAGTAAATCCAGAGAAGGGTTTCATTGAAGATGATTCTGTTATATTTGAAGTAAAAACTTTTTTTACATTTTCTATACACTCAATAATTGTAAATAAATTTATGTATTACAAATAATTTTTAATTTTTTCCTCAGGCATACGTCAAAGTTATTGATTAAATCAATGAAGGCACGCTTCATTATTTTATTTACACGAATGTTTAGATATATATTTATTTTTTAATGTTAACATTAAAGTACTTCAAGCTTCTAATTAACTTAATTATAAAAACAACTTGAAGTAGTTTTGAAAATTCATTTACTTATCAGTTATCTGTTTAGTTAAAATGTACTGCTGTCACAAATAGTTGAAAGTAATATTGAGTAAATCTTTGTTAGCTTAGTTTATAAAGATTAATAAATATTGAATTATATGTAAGGCGCTTTTTGTTTTATAAAATAAAACTTTCTCTTCAAAAAAAAAAATTAATATTTCTAATTAGTTATAAATTTCTAGAATTATAAATAAATAAAAATATATTTTCTAATATTAAAATTTAACTCAAAAAATGCATCTGACAATTTTTTAAATTTTTATACAAAATTAATGATCAAAAAAATTTAGTCAAAAAATTTAACATGAACTGTAAAAAAAAAAGTTACAAGTACCAGCTAATTAAAAAAAAAAATTTTTATCAAAATTAATTTGTTAAAAAAATTTGTTTAAATGTCACATCAGATTCCTGTTGACTTTAGTTTCATCATATTTTTACTGTTCGCATTATTATTACTAACTTATGTGTATTGTTTAAATTAATATTACTGTAGAGTGTGATAATTGACATTTTTTTTTTCAAATTGATTATTGATTTTCATATTTTTTTTTTTTTTTTTTTGTTATTTTATCGAATAGGTATACAAGTTGGTATTGTAACTGAATCATTGTAAGTAGAAAACGCGGTTAGCGCTAATGTAAAGAAATGAACCAGAGACAATGAAAGCACGATTTATTCTAAACAAGAATAAAACTTAATTATAAACAATTAATGAAAGTAAATAAACTTGTTTTAACTCAAGAAACATAAAAAATCAATTAATTGATTAAATTTTTGTTATTTTTATATTTTTTACAACGATTAATTTTGATGGTAGTGAGTTAATTGATTCTTTTAACCTCAATTCCTAGTTGGTATATATCAAACATCTGTCCCATAAAAAGAGTTTTTACTTGAAATAATAAAGGAAGTTTTAGGTAACAGTAAGATAATGGACTCAGGTAATTATTTTTATTATATTTACTGATAATTTTCAGTCACCACATGACGTAACTTAAATACTTATAAATATAACCGTTATTTGAAAATTGCATATATACATACAATGAATCGCAACAATTAGAATAATGAAGATAATTTATATTACAAAAGTTATTACAAAATTTTCTATACTTTTTTTTTTTTTACAAATTATAGAAAAGATCATAACTAATCATTGAAGTAAAAAAATTTGGTAATTTAATTATTTTTTTTTTAATTATATTTTAGAGAACTCTCAGTTGACTACTGTGACAGAATCAACGTTCCAGCTCACAGTAGAAAACGTTTCTGAATTAAAAACATCAGTTTTATCATCACCAGTGATATGCCAACACCTTCCATGGAACATTGTGGTAAAGCCAAATTTTGAAACAGGCATTGGTAAACAACCACTCGGGTTTTTCATTACATGTGATGGAAACTCTTCAAAAGACTGGATGTGTCAAGCTGCCGTTGAATTTAGTCTGTACCACAGTAAAAAAACCCGCAAACCTTTCACACGAAGTACAATTTTTTAATTTTATTACTAAGCTAAAAGACCCAGTTATTGACACTGGCGTAATTTTATTTTAATAAAAAAAAAACCAAATCAACTCTTATAAAGTAATAAATATAATTTTTGAATTATAAATTTGAAGATAATTGATTTCTTGAGAACATTTTATTTTTTTTATTAGAAATAAAATTGCAAGTGTCAAACAACTAGGCCAGTGTCAATAACTGGGTCTTTTACCTTATAATTAAAAACATGATTCTTAATTATCTAAATTCAATTATTTGTTTCAAGAATTTTCACATGTGTTTTGTGTTGAAAGAAATACTGTCGGTATTGAAAATTTTTTACTCTGGGAAGAAGTCATTGATGATGCTAACGGTTATGTCAAGGATGATTCCCTTACTTTTGAGGTAATTGAATTTTGTGTCTTATTACAATCTAATTTAAATATTAACCACAATAATAAACGCATAAGTATGTTTGTTTAGGTTTGTGTAATGCCTGAATTGCCCGACGATAAAAAAGGTAAAACATTTTTAATATCAATAATTAAATAATTAGCTAATATTATTTATTTTATTTTGATTTTTTAATTTACAGCTGATTTCTCTGTAACTGAAGTTGTTTTCCGACATACCCTGAAAAATGTTTTAAATATTAACAAGCCAGTACAACTAGGACCGTTTACAGCTTGCGATTTTGCTTGGAAAATTAATGTTAAACTACCATCTAAAAAATTATTAGAAAAACCTCATTCTCTTGGACTTCACCTTCAATGTAACAGAGAAGTTTTCTCAAATTCTTGGACATGTCGTGCTCGAATTGAAGTATGCTTACTCTCTCGAAAGAAAATTCCAGAAAAATTGTATCGAAGTAATTATATCAATTCACGTCTTAATTTATATTAATTGCTTACTCATTTATAGTTAATTCATTTTTATATTTTTATATCAAGTACTGCAACATCAATTTTCAAGTAGAAACAACACAGTAGGAGTTGAAGATCTAATTTCGTGGAAAGATTTATTGAATGAGGACAAAGGGTATATTATAAATGATTCCATCATTGTTGAGGTAAAATTATAATTATTATAATCGTACGAAAATAAATATTTGTGCATAGCACTTAAGGCAATTGTAGGCTATGAATATATGTTCATATATTAATTAAGGGGGTGAAATACGCGTAAAAAGCCGTTTTTATGCTGATTTTCATTAATTTTTTTATGGTATAAAAAATTAATATTATTTATTGAAACTATCAGGTTATTTTATAGATATATTTATGAGTATTTTTTCGTATTATACAACAATATAATTTAACAAATAGCGGAGATATTAGCTGATACATATCGTAGGTTGTCATCCGACTCAACAGTTGGTGTGTAATATAAAATTACTTTTTCTGCGCCATTCAATTCAGATAAAAATTGTGGCTTTCATACTGCACACCAACTACTAAGTCGGATGACAACTTACGATGTGTACTAGCTGATATCTTCGCTACTTTTTAAGTTACATTATCGTAAAATGTGGAAAAATATAAATATATATATAAAATAATCTGATAGTTTCAATAAATAACATTAATTTTCATACGTAAAAAAAATTAATAAAAAATCAGCATGAAAACGTCTTTCTACACTTATTTCCCCTTTTATAAAAAAACTTTTATTAGGTACACGTGGTTCCGGCTAAATTTGATTTGAAAGGTAAGATTGTTAGATTTATACCTCTTTCTTTAATAAAAATTTATAAAATTATCAATCTTTATTTTTATAGCTTACTTGAATGTAACTGAAGCAACATTTTGGTATACATTTGAAAGTGTGTCAAAAATAAATGTATCTAGATTGTCACCGCCGTGTTTCATCGGGAATTTTCCGTGGAGAATAAAAATTCTACCGAATAAATTAAAAGACGGACTTGCAAATTCTTTATTCGGATGTTACATATATTGTAACGAAGGAAACAAATCCAAGAGTTGGGGTTGTAATGCCATTGGAGAATTACGCTTAGTCTCAAATCAGAAAAGTAGACAGGCTTTCGCTCGGAGTAAGATTTGCAACTAATAATACTTAATCTACTTTGAATTGATAATTTTTTTTAATTGTTTTAATTTTTAATTCAAATTAATTCACTTAGAATTGCTTCCACATCACTTCGATGGGCAACACAATAACTGGGGGTTCGATTGTTTCATGCTGTGGAAGGATGTAATAAATCCGAGTATGGGCTTCATACAAAATGATTCAATCACTATTGAGGTAAAAAATTTTATTTATTCAAATGCTTGATAATCATAATGCAAAATAAACTCTATATGAATACTAAATTTATATAATTTTAAATATTTCCATAAGGCATGCGTCAGAATCATTGGTGAACCTTCTGAAACCATTCTTATAACTTAATACCGAATCGTCAAAATCGAAAGAGTATTTGATTAAATATTCTAGATTCTATGTTCTCGGTAACCCTTTTTTAAAATAGAATGAAAATTTTAAAAGCAATTGTTTTTTATGGTTTATAAAACGACTATTTTGAAGATTAAAAATATAAATAAATCTAGGACTTGATATATTATCAATAATATATTGAACAGTGTAATTATGAGAAAATGATAATAAAATGACTATTACTGTGTTTACATTTTTAATTAAGACTCTATTTCATGAATGTTAAAATGAAATACTTTAAATGTTGTATTAGTCTCTTAAAAATTTATTTTTCGAATCATAATCCTGATAATAAAAAAAATTATTTTTAAAATAGTTTAAGTTGAGCTTAAAAATCTATATTCAAAACTATAACTGTACTATCATCTTCACATACGATGTAAAATTTTTTTAAAACATAAAATCAAAAAAATTGTAAATAATATTTTTAATATCTAGTTTGTCATTGAATTAACTAAATTTCGTGAATGTCACTGGGAAAATATTTAAATAATAAGAATTTTTTTTTTAATAATTTAAATGCAATTTATGAATGTCGATAAATTATCAACTCGCGATTTGAGGAAATAGTTAAAGGCTTTTTAAAATAGAATAGTGGGGGTTGTGTAAATGTATACAAGCCGAAAGTAGTGGGGGACAAATATTTTGGAATGTTAGCTTCAGTTGAAAAGACAATGAATTTATAAGATTAACAGAATATTTAGCCAGTGAGAATAAAAAGTGTTGTGGACTATTTACTCCAAATAAACTTCCAAAATTATTATTAACAAATAATTAGAAAATACTTAGAAAAAGTATTTTCGCAGGATTAGTTACATGTTTAACAAAAAAATTTATTTGAATAATAATTTGGTAACAATAGGCTATTCTTTCTTAACCTTAATTGTAATAAAATAATAGCTGTTGATATATTATTGCCACATTCAATCGGAAGAAAATCGTAAACTGATAACAAAACTACTACGATGACTAAAGGTGGTAACATTTTCATTATTAAAACTATTTAAGAATTTGGTTGAGATATAATTGATATAATTTTAATTAATTTGTAGTTAAGCCTAAATCTAGTATGGTATTAAAAGAAGCTACCATTGAGTATACAGTTCAAAATTTTTCTCAACTGAAAGACGCAGTTTCATCACCAACATGTACAATCCAACACTTGCCATGGAATGTATTGGTGAAACCTTTTTATGAAACTGATCTTGGGAAATTACCTTTTGGACTTTTTGTCATATGTGATGGAAATGATTCAACTAACTGGACTTGTCGGGCTGATGTTGAATTTAATATTTATCCTTTAAATAAAAAATTTCGAGTACCATATTTTAGAAGTAAGTCTTACTTTTTTATTTCTTTAATTATATAAAAGTTCTTTAATTATATAAATTATATATAAAAATAAAAAAGAAATGATTTTTAGAATATTTTGAGTTGAACTAAAAAATTTACTCAAAAAACTAAAATTGTACTATCTTCTTCACATAAGTTATTCAGAGGAACTATTTCTATGTGTAATTTTTTTTTTTTTAATTTATAAATTTATAAATGCAAGTTATAAATGTCGATAAATTATCAACTCGTGATTCAGTAAAATGGTTGAAGGCTTTTTTAAATAGAATAGTGGGGGTTGTGTAAATGTATACAACCCGAAAGTAGTGGGAGATGAATATTTTAAAAGGTTAGCTTCAGTTGAAAAGACAGTGAATCCATAAGATTAACAGAATATTTAGCCAGTGACAATTAGATGTGCAGTAGGCTATTGACTAAAAATAAACTTACAAAATTATTATTAACAAATAATTAGAGAGTACATAAAAAAACATACTTTTAAAAAATTATCTCCGCACAATTACTTTCATATAAAACAAAAAAATTTATTTGAATAATAATTTGGTAACAATAGGCTATTCTTTCTTAACCTTGATTGTAATAAAACAATAACTGTTGATCTATTATTGCCTCATTAATCGGAAGAAAATCGGATACTAACAAAACTACTACAATGGCTGAAGGTGGTAACATTTTCATTATTAAATCTATTGAAGAATTTACTTGAGATATAATTGATATAATTTTTAATTAAATTGTAGTTAAGCCTGAATTGAGTATGGTATTAAAAGAAGCTACCATTGAGTACACAGTTCAAAATATTTCCAAATTAAAAGACTCAATTTCATCGCCAACATGTACAATCCAACACCTGCCATGGAATGTATTGGTGAAACCTTCTTATGAAACTGATATTGGGAAACGACCTTTTGGATTATCTGTCACATGTGATGGAAATGATTCAACCAATTGGACTTGTCGTGCTGATGTTGAATTTAATATTTATTCTTTTAATAAAAAATGTCGAGTACCATTTTCTAGAAGTAAGCCGAACTTTTTTAGTTCTTTAATTATGTATCTGCTTATAATTAATTAAATATAATAATTGTGTGTGAATTACAGGAAGGAAACATACTTTTTCTACTAAAGCAAATACCACAGGGTTCGAAGTACTTTGGGAAAAAATAACCACCTCAGAAAAACGCTTGATTGAAAATGATTCTATCATACTAGAGGTATGAAATTAATTAAATATCGCTGTGATATATTTATTAATATTACATAATAACACGTAAATATGTCTATTAGGTCTGTATTCATTGTCACCCAGAAAATAGCGAAGAAACAAACGGTAATATTTTTATTTTAATAATAGAAAACGCTAAGCATTTAATGAGCCTTTATTTTATTTTCAATATTCATTATTTTATTAATGGTTAATGAGAACTTTCAGCTGACTGTTCAGTTGTAGAAACAGTTTTTCGACACACCATTAAAAATATCTCCAAGATCCAGAAACCATTCATATTAGGACCTTTTCCTGCACTCAATCTTTCGTGGAAAATTATTGCATATTTTCCAACAAAACCTACTGAACCTCAATCTCTTGGATTACACTTACAATGTAACAAGGATGTTCATTCAGATACTTGGAATTGTGACGCCCGCATAGAATTTCGCCTACTGAACCACCAAAAGAGTGATGAAAAATTGTGTCGAAGTATAATAATAAGCAGCAGCTTTATTTATTAACGATTAATTTAACATATTTCAAAACTGGTCTCTTTTATAGTTATTCAACATCAATTTTCTGGTAAGGAAAACACAGCAGGGGTTGATGATTTCATTCAATTGAAAGATTTATTAAATGTTGCCAAAGGTTTCATCAAAGATGATTCTATCATTGTTGAGGTAAAATTATATGAACAATTTAATTTCAAATTTAAAATAGTATTATTATTTACATGAGGACGTTATAAAACTGAAAAAATAAATTTTGTTAAGGTCTATGTAATTCCCGCTAAATTTGATCTCCAAGGCAAGTACTTTGTAAAGCAGCAATAATTAATTTTTGATTCCTGAAATTTTTAATCGTATATAATTTTATTATACAGCCTGTTTGAGTGTTCGCGAAGGGACATTTTGGTTTAAGTTCGAAAATGTATCGAAAATAACCGGCGATCAGTTATCGTCCCCATGCACTATAGGGAATTTTTCTTGGAAAATCGTGATTAAGCCATTCAAAAAAGCGGACGAAGAATTATATCTTGCATGTTACTTGAGGTATGGTCAAGTAAATTCTTCGACCAGTTCGAGTTGTGATGCAATTGCAACGATGAAACTTGTTTCTTTTGAAAAAGATAAACAATCCCACAAACAAAGTAAGTTAATTTCATGTATTGAATTGTATTCTGACTAATATAGTACATGAGTTTTGAATTTCTTGTTACTTAAAAATAGAAACACCGCCAAAGCATTTTACAAAGGAAATTGATTCATGGGGATTTTCTCGATTTATTCTGTGGAAGGATTTAATGGATTCAGAAAAAGGTTTCGTAAAAAATGATTCGATGACTATTAAAGTAAGATTTAATTTTGATATGTTACTGTACAATTTTGTTATAAGCTTGTTTTTTTTTTTTTTTTTTTTAATTTATAAACCAGGAATAAGACTGTTACTATTATAACGAGGTCGACTGTAAATGCATTTTTCTTATTTTCATATTTCATTTTCATTACACCAGATTCATGTCAAGATTTTGGAAGAACCAACGGAAAGCATAGAAATAAAATAATTCCAAGCTGTTATTGTTAGTAAAAAGATATTTTTACGGAGAGGAAGTTTCTGATGATGTAAAAATTAATTTTTTTTAGTTAAAAAAGAATAATTATTACGCTAATTTTTATGATTTATTCAACGACTCATTTACTCGATACTAATCTCAGTATCTTGATTTAAATGTTAATAAAAAAATAAATTTTTAACATTTATACTAAAGCTTTAATAAATTTCAAATAAATACAATTCACTGCATTTTATTTGAACAAGTTTTTATTCTTACCGACTGACAAATAAATCTTCGGTAAGTTATGATTTGTTGATAATTACTTTGCACATATATATGTATACCATTACTTATGCCGTAATTGAAATTTATCCTTGATAAATTGTGGGGGAACTCATAATATGTAAGACATACGCGAGTGTACAGTCAACATAAATTGGTTGTTTGCTTTAGTATATTCATTCTCACGTCAATAAAACAACATCAAATCTAAATCTTTGAACAAATAAAATAATAACTAGTCTAGCGTTTTTTGTATTGCATATACAAGTTTCATAGATAACAGATAACACGCAACAACGACGATTGTTCTTTAAATCATTTCTTCGTTGTTTTGAGAAAGTATCACATCGTTATCTTGATTAATCATAAATTATTACGGATAACAGCGAAAAAATTGATTTAAACTTGCAAAATAAATATGTCTTCAAATTTATCTTCATCTGAGATCAAAGATTTGAGTGTTGTTCCTAATAGAAGACAATTTTTCGATTTAAGTGATGAAATGGATGGCGGTAAATATATTATTTCTTCTTTAAAAATTTATTTTTTAGTTATAAAATTATTATTAACAATAATAGAATAATTTAATGGTTATTTTTTTTATTTTTAGCGGAAATTATTTTTTCCGTAACTGAAGGAACGTTACGGTACACTGTAAAGAACATATCAAAAATGAAAACACCTCAATATTCTTCAGTATGGGTAATACGCAATTTACTTTGGAAAATTATGGTCCATCCGGTATCTAGTGGTGGATTAAAAAATCAATCAACTGAATCACTTGGATTTTTTCTTCAATGTGATACAAAGGATTTATCGAATAGTTGGGGTTGTGATGCCGTTGTTGAGTTGCGTTTGTTATCAAACAAAGAAGGCGAAAAACCTTTTACTCGAAGTATAATTTAGTTCTCCTATTTTTATATTTTTTATTTATTTTATTTTATTTAAATTTATTATTTTACGAATAGGAATTCAACATTTTTATTATAGCTTAGAAAGTGATTGGGGTTTTACACATTTTATACCATGGAAAGATCTTCTAGATCCAGAAAATGGTTATATTCAAGATAATTCTATAACAGTTGAGGTAACAATTTATGTTTTCAAATTAATACTTGTTTTCTGTTCGATATTTTGCCATAATTTGTAAATGTAATGATAGAATTTATAATTTTTAGGCTCATGTAGTTACCGGAGAACCTATTGAAATTGATTTAGAAAAACTCAAACTTTTAGAAGACAGCGTGACTCAACGTCGAGGTATTTTATATCAATTCATCTAATCACTAATTTTATAGTATTTACTGTTGACAGTAGATATTTTCATAATTAAAGACAATAGAATCAATCGCTTGTAGCCACTTGAGTTAGAAACTTTATCATTGATAAATGAAGATTAATATTTACTTATGACTTTCAGAATCTTTAAGCACTAGTGATGGAGATAGCAGTAACCGCAAAGACGATTCCGATTCCAGTATTGATACCATAAAGCCAGGTATTTATATAGTTTAAAATTATTTTTACAATCTTTTATTAAGATTATGTATTTACGATTATTCCCTTTAAATCATTTTTATTTTCAGTTAAGAAGAAATCGATAGGGAAACTCCGGTACACTGTAAAAAATTTAGCCAGATTGAAGAAATGCGAATATTCACCTCCTTTTAATATTAATAATTTGTCTTGGCATATAGTAGTAAAACCAAATATCCGCAGTGAAGAAAAAAATCAGCAAGAGAAATACGTTGGCGTTTATGTGAAATGTGATGGTCCTGAAAATTCTTCGCCGTGGTTGGTGTATGCTTCTGTATATATGCGCGTGATTCCGGTTAAAGAAGATGTTGATGCTTTTGATGAAGGTAAGATTTTTTTTTTAATTCTTGAAAAGCATAGTTCTTTTTAAGTATAGTTATCTGAGGAGCTGAGTTTCAAAAGGGTATCTTTTCATTTTTGATTAATCGAGAAAAAAAACTGGTTATCTTCAATCATAAATCTTTGTAATTCTCGAAGTAATTAATATTTAAAAGTTCAGAAAACTCGTCTTCTAGAATATGAAAAGATGTTGAAAATCAGCTCCTCATCTATATTATTAAGAGAATAAGAAAAATTTTGTGGCCAGTGTATTTATATGATAAAATGGGTTTTTATGGTTAAATTTGGTATCATTAGAAAGGTCTTGGAGTTGTGCCTTTGTGACCTGGAGTTGACCTGGAGTTGTGCCTTTTCAAGGTTTCATATTATTCATACCAATAGTCAATTTATGATAAGTATTTAGGCTGCATTCGAAAATGCTCTATATCTAGATACATAATTAAGAAATGACTTTGTATCTCGTGAATTATTGAGATTTTTAAAGATATAAGCTCATCTCGATATTACACTCATCAAGACCTTTCATTTGAGTACCCACATCAATTTTTCATATATTTTATATATTTATATAGTTCACAAATACCCTATTTATAAAATATATATGAAAATATTCATGCGGGTATTCAAATGAAAGCTCTTGATGAGCGTAACATCAGGATGAGCTTACATCTTTTAAAAAGTCATTAATTAATAAACGACCTTGTATCTTGTCAACTAGTGACATTTTTAAAGATATAAGCTCACCCCGACATTACACTCATCGAGACCTTTCATTTGGGTACCCACATCAATTTTTCATATATTTATATATATTAAAATATATCAAAATCCACGTGGGTACTCAAATAAAAGCTCTTGATGAGTGTAACATCGGGATGAGCTTATATCTTTAAAAATGTCAATAGTTAAAAAAGTATAGTACAATTTAACAAAAGTCATTATTTAATAAAGCAAAATTTTATTTATTTATATTTCATAAGTCATGGAAGTCACATAGTGATTTTAAGGTTGCTAGTTATTATTATTCAATTTTGTTTACAGTTTTTAGCCATTATTTTACTTGTGAAGAAGTCACCTGCGGTATTTCTTATTTTTTACCAATAGACTTTTTATTAAATCCAGAAAATGGCTTCATTACTGAGAATGGATCTGTAACATTCGAGGTAAAAAAAAAAAAAAACAAATTTTTATTTATTATTGTAAAAACATTTATTAAATATTAATTATACCGTTTTTTAGTCTCACATGTTTCTTGACAAATGTCAAGGTATTACCTTAGATTCTCGAAGATTTTTCAGTGAGGTTGACCCGAATGAATGTAAGTAAATTACTATCTTTGTTCGGAAGTAAATAGTAGTAAATACAAATATTTTTTATTTTTTATTAGGCAATGCTGAATCTGAGGTAGTATATAAATTCAAAGTAGATCACATTTCTACCTTGGAAGAATCGCGATTATCACCAACATTTAAATTGCACGGCTTATCATGGAGTATAATAATTTCACCAGAAGTAATTTATCGCCATTGTGACGAACCTATTGAAACACTTGGATTTTTTCTACGATGTCAAGGATTACCATTGTTAAAAAATTGGTGCTGTTATGCGGCAGCTGAGCTGCGTTTGTTGTCAAACAAACCTGATCAACAACCATTTTTACGAAGTATAAAACTCCCATTGATTATTTTATCTACTTAATTTTATTTTAATCAATAATATTCTATTTTTGCGAGCAGGAATTTATCATATTTTTAACAATGTTAAAAAAACCTGGGGTTTCAAAGAATTTTTGCCGTGGAAACAAGTTCTGGCTCCAGAAAACGGATATACTGTTAACGATTCTATCACTGCTGAGGTAAAAAAAAATCATTCGTACTATTTATTGTTAACAACACATCAAAATAAATTTATTTAACTTAAATCAATTTACAGATTCATGTTCTAGCAGAACCTCCGTACATAAGTAAAATGAAGAGATATAACAATAAATTACCACTGAAGTTACTTAGTGAGTATTGAATTTTATTTTTGATAAATACTAATAACACAATTTGAATATATATATTTTTTTTATCAACACTAGATGTTATTGATGAAGATGAAAGTTCAATACCCACACCAGGAAGACAAGAAGAAAAATTAATAATCAATAATTTGTTTTCTTTTACTTGCAATGATCCAAAAAATAAATCAGGTATGATTTTTATTATTTATATAAATTATGTAAATGGTTTATATAAACTAAAAAAACTCTTTTATTCTCTTAGATGAACAAATGCCTGAAGTTGACTTTCAGTTTATTGTACAAAATGTATCCCAGTTATCAGAAGTATTATATTCACCCCAAATTGTGGTCAGTAATTTATTATGGAGGATGAAAATTGTCCCGCGAATCCGTGAAAGCATCCTTCAAGCGGAAATGTTAGCTTTCTTCTTAGAGTGTGGACCGATTACTGAAACGAGTAAACCTTGGTGCTGTTATGCAAATGCTACACTACGTTTATTATCTTGCCAAAAAGATAAGCCAAATCTCAGTACAAGTAAATTTATTTATTATAATTTTTTAATATTCTATCTATTAATTAATAACGTAACATTTATTATTTACTGTGTATAGAAATTCAACACCTTTTTAATCCAAAAGATGCTAGCTCGGGTTGTATTGAATTCATTCGATGGGATGATTTATTAGATCATGAAAATGGTTTTATCGAAAATGATACCGTGACATTCGAGGTATTAATTTTTTATTTTTTCAAATAAATTCTTTTAAGCAAATAATACAATTTTTTAAATTATCATTAAACTACACTTTTATATTAATTATTAAAAAATTGTTTTTTCAGATTGATTTGATTGCGGATCCACCATACGATATTAATTCAAGCAAAAAATCTTCAAATTCAGATACTTCTTAATTGAATACAAAGAACTTTTTATAGTAAATTATTATTTTATGATTAATATTAAAAATGTTGTGGTTACATACACTAACTTACTAGTATATTAGTATTAACTACATAAGTTATTATATGTAATATTTAAAAATGTGTATTAAAAGTATTAGAAATTAAAAATAAAGAACAAATGACTCGGTTTATCATGACATTAAAGTTAGCAGTCACTTGACCATTTTTTAATTTTTTTTTAACAAACAAATTTGTTCCAAAAAATTATTTAAAAAAAATTGCATTTTTAATTTTTTTAAATTTCTCCATGTCAATTTTTGTTTTTTGCCTTAATTTATTTGTCAAAAAGATTCTAAAAATCATTAAATATTTGCTAAATTAATTTTCATCGGTTTATCTTATAATTATTGAAATGTCAAAAATTTCATGACAGTGTTTTTAAATTATATTAAAGTTAGCAGTCATTTGATCATTTTTTAATTTTATTTAACAAAAAAATTATTTTTAAAAAATTGCATTTTTAATTTTTGTAAATTTCTACATATCAATTTAAAAAAAAATTTTTTTTAGCCAGAATTTATTTATCAAAAAAATTCTTAAAATTATCAAATATCTGCTCAATTAATTTTCACGTTTTTAAAATGTAAAATCTTTTTAAAATTAAATTAAATTTAGCGCCTTGCAGAAAAATATAAAATACGATGCAAAGAAATAAATAATTGTTGATAAGTTACCACGTGTCGGTATTTGACAGGAGAAATTGGAGAAATTACTGTGAAATTGCGAACTGAAGATTTTTTCATAGTCTAGGGACTTGAAAATGACATTATGAGTGCTGTTTTTAGCAAGGAAAGGTAGTTGGCACTTGCAATAAGTGCAAGAGTGAAGGATTATTTAGAGTATAATACAGGGGGCGATTAACATCGCAGTCGCCATTTTGTTTATTTTCACGTAAAAGTAAACGGGATTTATCAAAGCCCGTGAACAAAATAGCTAAATAAATATAACTAAAAGTACTTTTGTGAGCAGTGTTAGGCGTAGTTATATGACAACAGTGTGAAACTGCGTGACGATACATTAAAAGGTGAATTTTACCGGCTCAATCATCATCAATAGTTATACATACATGCATTAAATATCCTCTCGACTAGGACAGCGACGATGTGTGTTAGTGAGGTCGTGGCCAAATAATTTGCAGCGTCGGTTGTTGCTAAAAAAATAACCCCTATACGATAAATGTTGTAATTATAAATAAAAAAAAAAAATCTCGTCGACGTATACGGTAGCGATATAAAATTAATTAAAAAAAAAAAAAAAGAGTAAACGAGCGTCGTCAGGTATTAAAAGTTTTATTTGTATATTTTTTTTATTTTAAAGCCGCAACCAGAGTGAGAGAAAGCGACCGCGGCAGAAAGAGTGAGACAGATAGCGTGAAGACGGAGTAAAGAAGTAGAAGAAGACTCGGGGGAAAAAAAACGCGTAGCAATAAGAACGTGGCGCCGGTGTAGCACGGTTAAAATTTTCTTTGATTCATTGTCGCGTTTCAGGACACTGGATATCCTGGACGTCGTCAAAGACTTTGAGCTAATTGCTATTAAGGTAGTGCTGAAATAATGAGGAAAAAAGATACCTATAGAGTGGGTTAGTTGTATGTTGGTATTGTGTGTACGTGTATGCTGGTACGTTGTATAGGTATGTGCATGTACATTATTAAAAAAAAAGAGAGAATGCTAGAGAAGAGTGATAGAGGGAGTGAGTAAATGTATAGTAAGGCGCGTGTTAGTACATGGGTTGTCGCTACTGCGCGTTGTGAAGTTGCGCCTGCGGAAATCTAAAGCGCGACATTTCTCTTGGCACAAGCACAAACGCTGTTTGTCTGTGTATTAAAATTAAGTTCTCCATTTATCATCATCATCTTCATCATTACCGTTGTCATTACTATCACCGTAATTTTTCCAAGTATTAGCGGGCGATTAAATTTACGATACTCTGATTTTCTCCTCAAGGTGGCAGCCACGGGGACAATAACGAGTCAAAAAAGCATCTAAAATCTTGGCAGAAGAAGGGGAAGAAGAATACGTACGCGCCCTACAACAGAAACAGTATTGTAGGACCGTGGAGGAGAGCAAACTCCAGGGTAAAATATATGGTGTGGGCGTCCCCGAAGTCCGCGGGGGCATATTACGGCCGCAGAAATTGGGCGAATCGCAAGTAAGTACCAAACGTCGTCGTGTGGTAAAGCGACGTCACCGACGGGTCGTCGTAGCAGCAGCAGCAGTGGTGACACCATCGACGAGGCAAACGTTGTTGTCCTGGACTATCACCAGCATCACCAAGATAATTTACAGGAGCTTCAACAGGAAGTGACTGAGACGGAGCAGTTATCACCGAAGCTAACTCAGGAGAAATCCTCAGCGACTCTCGAGTCGGCGGTGTTACAGCCGGAGATAAATACTATTCCCGAAGTCACCTCGACGGCGCCAGTCGTCCGCGAGGTACAGAGCTCCGACAAGACGACCATCAACATTGGTGTCGCGATGAACCACGTTAATGACCAGGATAATACAAAGCAACAAAAGTTCAAACGTGCACTTGTTATTGATAATTTTGACGACTTAATGGATACACAAGAAGGTGAGTTTACTTTTTTTTTTTTTTTTTTTTTCAATTTGTCACTTTGTTAATTTTTTATATATATTGTTCTAAACAATAGCAGTTGTGGGCAGTTATATCGTCTAACATATAATGGTTTATCTTTATATAAGTTGATTCATTACTGGACAATTATTAAAATGTTCCCGAGGTTTTAAATTGTCGACGCTTTATATACATTTTTTCTTTTAGTGTTCTCGACCTAAGCCAATATACGTGTTACATGTATTTTTTTTTAATTTGATTTTGATCATTTTTTCAGAATGAACTCTGGTAAAAAATTTTATTTATAAAAATCTAAAACTTGAAACATTGATTTTTTATTATTTACTTATTAATTGATAAACAATAAAATGTGTAACTATACATATATATTTATTTTTTTAATGTGGTGCTAGATCTTCAATTTATTTCTAACCAAAGTCATAGCTCTCAATAAAAAAAAAAAAAAAAAATAATCTCTGTTGTTAAATCATCCGTTGAAATATTTTAAATTTAACTTTGCTCCAATTATCCAAATAAAATTTATTCTTATTGAATTTAATAAATGTTTATGTATAATAGGAAAATGTTATTTACTAAATTATCATAACTATTTATAAGCATATACTTCAAAACTATTTAAATTATTTACTTAAAATAGGATTTGTGATTCGTAGAAAATAACAAAATACCGTTAGGTCGATAAATGTAAATAATGATTATTTTTTGAAAATAATCATACTAATATCAATGTGATTAAGATAGAGATCTTGTGGATTATAATAATATATATTTACTATCTTTGTATTAAAATTTTCAGAAACACCAAATGATGGAGGAGGGGATGGAAATGATTTACGACCAATCAATGGAGAACTAGAATTTGAGTTAGCAGCAGTTGACGAAATGTCTAGTTGCATTGGTTTAGATCAAGAAATGGATGAAGGTATTTTGTTATAAATATATTTAAGCTTTGTTTATACTAAAGTATTTTTAACCAAATTATGGCTTTGTGGCAATTCGTGAAACTTTATTGGAAAAATTTTTTCCTGTTGATAAATAATTGTAATCAAAGTTTAGAAACTCAACCAAAAAGTAATGTTTAATGTGTATAAGTATATATATATTTTTTTTACATTTTTTTATAAAAGTAAATTAATAATAAAAATGTGTGTTATTCTTTGGTATTATTGTGAAATTATTGCAGACGAAGCACGATCTGAAGCGACGTTTCGCTACACAGTAGAAAATGTATCAAAAATGAAAGAATCCCAGTTATCACCACCATGTATTGTGAGAAATTTGCCGTGGAAAATTATGGTGATGCCGCGTTCAAGTCAAACTCAAGAAAGACAACCACAGCGATCATTGGGATTTTTCCTACAGTGTAACGGAGAGAGTGAATCAACGACTTGGAGTTGCTATGCAGTTGCTGAATTACGTCTCCTTTCATGTAAAGAGGGCCAAGAACCTTTTAGTAGAAGTAAGTTCTTTATTCTCAATTCATAATCAAATTATTTATTTATAAAATTTAATTTATACTATTTTTAAATTTTCTTTTCAGAAATTCAACATCTATTTTACACTAAGGAAAATGACTGGGGATTCAGTCACTTTATGTTGTGGCAAGATGTATTGGATCCAGACAAGGGTTATATCAAAGACGACTCTATCACGCTTGAAGTAAGAACAACAAATAATATTTAACAGCCGCTACTCTGTAGGTGTGAATACTTTGTAAAGTTATTCATAACTCGGTCTATGGCTTCTAAATCAATACCTTTAGTTGTTTTGTGTGGACTAATGCTATCAATTATAAATGTTTATTTTTTTTTTTTTTATTTCTTTAGGTCCATGTAGTTGCAGATGCACCCCATGGAGTCAGCTGGGACAGTAAAAAACATACGGGTTACGTTGGATTGAAAAATCAGGGTGCAACTTGTTACATGAATTCTCTTCTTCAGACACTTTATTTTACAAATCAAGTATGTTGGCATTATCTTTATTTTGGAGGTTGATTAAATTTAAAAATTTGCTTTCTCATTCATGTTTAAATATATTAATGTTTTTTATTTTCTGAATTTATTAATAGCTGAGGAAGGCAGTTTACAAAATGCCAACGGAAAGCGACGACTCAAGTAAAAGTGTAGCCCTCGCATTGCAACGAGTATTTCATGAATTACAATTTTCTGACAAGCCAGTTGGTACAAAAAAATTAACAAAAAGTTTTGGCTGGGAAACGCTTGATTCATTTATGCAGCATGACGTACAAGAATTTTTGCGTGTGGTAAGTCATAAGTCATAACATAGACAATAACGTACACTGTTATTATTGTACAATTAAAAATTTATTTAAAATTTTTATTAATCAATATTGTTTTATTTTTTAACAATAGCTGTTGGACAAACTTGAAAGTAAAATGAAAGGAACGTGTGTAGAAGGAACGGTGCCCAAATTATTTGAGGGTAAAATGGCATCTTTTATTAAATGCAAGAATATTAACTACACATCTACAAGAGTTGAAACATTTTACGATATACAATTGAACATCAAAGGAAAAAAGAACAGTAAGTATTGATTAGCAATATAATAATAACTACTAAAAGAATTTGTCGGCTGTTGTATGTGTGTTTATATGTGATGTGTGTAATGAACTTCGCATCATTAAATATAATTGCTATTATTCGCATCATTTTAGTTTACGAGTCATTTAGAGATTATGTGAGTACGGAAATCCTTGACGGTGACAATAAGTACGACGCCGGTGATCATGGTCTTCAGGAAGCTGAAAAAGGCGTTGTTTTCCAATCTTTTCCACCAGTACTTCATCTACACCTCATGAGATTTCAATACGACCCAGTGACAGATTGTTCGGTTAAATTCAATGATCGATTTGAATTTTATGATAAAATATCTTTGGGTGAATACTTACAAGCCGAAGAATCAACAAATGCAAATTATACACTGCACGCAGTTTTGGTTCACAGTGGTGATAATCACGGAGGCCACTATGTCGTATTTATTAACCCAGCAGGTGACGGCAAAGTAAGTTAATTATCTGCAGTTTATTTATTTTATTAAATCGATGTTCTAATTAGCAAATTGTTTAACTCCATTTTAGAGAATCTTTTATTTGTACGAAAAAAAAAAAAAACAATTAGTTCAAAATTTATTATCACTTTAAAAAACCATTTAATATCATTAATATCTAATAGAGATATAATATTTAGATTTGAATCATTCAAATAATTTATAATTGGATTATTGCGACATCAAAATGTTAAAAAATCACCCTCTAAAAAATAAGGAGTTAGACAAATTGCTAATTAAACCGTCGAAATATTTTATTTATTGATGATTTGAATTTTTTTTCCCCAGTGGTGTAAATTTGACGACGATGTGGTCTCACGATGTACAAAGCAGGAAGCAATTGAACACAACTACGGTGGTCAAGATGAGGACATGTCCATGGCAGTGAAACATTGTACCAACGCTTACATGTTGGTCTACATCCGCAACTCAGAGTTGGAGAATGTTCTTCAAGAGGTTAAAGAAGAGGACATACCTCAAGAGGTCAGAAACGACTTTCAAAGAGAACATTCCCAGGAGATGTATGATCATAAGCGTGACAAAGACATGACCGATAGTATCAGAGATAATCGCGACACCGACATTGCTACGTTACGACCGTGCACGCAAAATCCACGAAATCCAAATCTTTATATTCATGATTTTTAATTTAAATTATTAATTAACTTAAAATTTTAGATCCGTGGTCATTTTTACGCGAGCGAGCTGCTGGAGTGAGTCAGTTAAAAAATTTAAATTGTAAAAAAATCAAAAATCAATTTTTCGATAAAGCTATCACTTATTTTTTTTTTTAGAGTTTTTTTTAGCGATGTATTTTTGTTTTAAAATCAGACGTTACGTGTACGTTCTTAAATCATTGTTTTTGAAGCATTTTGTGATCGCGGATGTATTTAAAATTGACGTATTTCGTGTGAATTGTTTATACAATAAAAGAAAAAAAATAACAAGTAATTAGAATTGATTAAATATAAAGAGATAGACTTTAAAATCTATTTCTTTCTTTATAAATTAATTGAAATTATAAATAAATTTTTCTAACTCTGTTGACGGGCTTTCAGGCAAAAGCTTTTTATTCTCGCGATATTTTAATACAGTTTTCTTACTATTATAATTTTTTCTTTTTTCGTTTTTTTTTTTATTCATCCGAAAGATCGGCTGTAATTAATATAAATGAATCAAATCTTTAGGATTGTCTAGCCAAGATTAATAAAAATGTATTATATTATCTGCAAAGAAAAAAAAAAAAACAATTGTAATATATGTGAATTTGAGACTCGGACGCAGCGCGTTGTGATTTTAGGAACGGGTCGATGGAGTTTAAAATGTTTCGTGTTTTTTTTTTTTTTTTTTCTTGGAATTAATTAGTTTGCTTTTAAACTAGAGTTGAATTAAAGAATTTTAATAATAGTAATACGTGAATGAAAGAAAGCAAATTACCACGTAAAGTAATAACAAAAATAAAAAAAGAGTGGAAGACCCACGATTCAATAGCGACTATCAGCTTCCCTCATGTCTTCTGTAATGTATTTTTCTTATTTAACTCTGATTAATTGACGCGCCAACGACATTGTACCGTCGCGACTGACTCGGAAGGTCCGCGGATTAAAGACAGCTAAAAAATAAATTAAAAATGGAAAATTAAAAAAAAAAAATAATATAAAACAACCAATTCGTTTGGTTTAATTATTTTTAAATGAAAAATTAAGTGAAAAAATGATAACGAGATAAATCATCCGTGTCCGTCCTTGTCGGAGGGCAAGCCTTCGTGTGAGTTGAAGCGTAATGTTTTAATAATAATAATTATATCAATGAATCATGAACATAAAATTTCATCTGTGTTGATAGTGATTACGAGTATTGACAGATGCTTATCTATTTATTTGTTGTTACGTATTAATAAATAGAAAAAAATAATAATAAGTAACAAATTTAAAAAAAAAATATCGTCGCCAGAATAAATAATTTATAATGACTGTAAACGTTGAGGTCCCTTGATTTTTTTTTCTCTACCACTTTCTTAATATTTAGAAAACAAAAAGGACGTAAAAAATAATAGAATAGTAATAATAATAATAATAATAATAATAATAAATATACACAAAGTAAAGCGAGCTTATTGTCATCATCATCGTGCTTGAATCGTCGTCTATTCTTCTCTCTCATTCACTGCCTTCTTGTCTCATTCAGCTGTCTCTAGATATAAAAACAGCACATCGCATTTGGATACGATGCAGCCTTCTCTTGCTTGCTGAATAATTATCATTTTGTTGTAATTTAATATCATTTATAAATAAATATATAAAAATACGTATTTATATAAATAACAATAATAATAATAATAATAATAATAATACTATTATTAATAATAATAATAATAATATTATAAATAATAACAGTTAAAAAATCTATATTTAAAACAATATAAAAAAAGCAGTGTCGGTATTGTCGGCAGATGAACAAAATTAAAATTATTTAAACGCACTGAAGATAATGACAAAGCGGCCAAAAAAATAATAAAAAAAAAAGATATTGCTTTTCAAAATCTCGTCTATTGATTAATTAGTCATAATGAAATAATTAATGAAAAATATAAAATTTATTTCGAATTAATAAAGACCAAAAACATAAATAAAATCAAAATTCAGATAAAGATTTTAAAAATCGATAACGGGAAAATAATGTTCACACTTGGATAATTTTAATTTTGTTGGTCTAGCTGGTGGACAGGCTACAAGAGGAGAAGAGGCTGGAATATATACGAAGAAAGGAGAGAAACGATGCGCATTTATATATGACCGTGAACGTCCTCCTCGAGGACAGCTTTGACGGTCACCAAGGCAACGATCTCTACGACCCGGAGCGCGCGCTTTACCGCGTATTCCGCATCCGTAAACAGGCGACCCTCCATGAGTTTCTAGAATTACTCAGCGACAGTCTGGTAAGTTTTATAAAGTTCAATTTTTTCTCACGATTATTACCGTAAGTAATTAAATAAAACCTTGAGATGATGATAATAATAATTATGATAGTCAATAAAATATATTTTTATTATATTAAAATTTATAAATAAAAATTTTTTCTATTTCTCACAGAAATATCCTATTGAGCAAATCCGTGTGTGGCCATTCAGCTCCCGTACCAATCAGACATGCAGACCAACCTTGATTGAAGCAGAAGCTGATCTCCAGAAGAGTATGTCTATGTGCGCTGAAAATGCCAATCCTTGGCCTGTATTTGTTGAACTTGTTCCACCGGATTCTGGTCTTACTGCATTGCCGCCTTTCGACAAAGACACTGATGTTTTGCTATTTTTCAAACTCTACGATCCGAAGAACAAAAAAATTCATTACGCTGGTCATCACTACATGCCTGTTACAGCGAAAGTTCGTAAGTAAACATTCTTATACATTTGTAGAGTATTTTATTGGACCAACTTAATATTGATTAATTTTTTTTTTGTTATTTCTATTTAAAGAGGAACTTATTCCTATTCTAAATGAGAGAGCTGGTTTTCCACCTGACACTGAGCTGGCACTTTATGAAGAAATAAAACCTAATATGGTGGAGAAAATAGAAAACATGACAGAATCTTTGGAGAAAGTACTTGAGGAATTGATGGACGGTGATATTATTGTGTTCCAAAAAGAAGAAAGAGATAATGAAATGTATGAATTACCAACTTGCCGAGACTATTTTAAGTATGCATCAAAAAATTTTTTTGTCATTAAACTTTTTTTATTAATGTTTAATTGATATTTTATTTTTATTTCTCCAGGGACTTATTCTATAGGGTAGAAGTTACTTTCTGCGATAAATCAATTCCAAATGATCCAGGTTTCACGATGGAATTGTCTCTGAGAATGACATACGATCAAATGGCTAAAGCTGTAGCACAGAGGGTCGGTACAGATCCATATCTGTTACAATTTTTCAGATGTCAAAATTACAAAGACTTACCGGGGCATCCGCTAAAGTGTACATTTGAGGGTACTCTAAAAGATTTGGTTGCATACTGTAAACCAAAAACTAAGAAAATATTTTATCAACAATTAAGTATTCGAGTTAATGAGCTTGAAAATAAAAAACAATTTAAATGCATTTGGGTTGGACTGTCACTTAAGGAAGAAAAAGAAATAATACTTTATCCAAATAAAAATGGTACTGTTGCTACACTTTTAGAGGAGGCTAAAAAACAAGTTGAATTATCTGAAAATGGTTCAGGAAAATTGAGGCTATTAGAAATAAATTGTAACAGATTATTACCGGGTCCAAAAGAAGATGTGCCTTTGGAAAATCTTACGACTATTGGCACAAAGGCGTACAGGATAGAAGAAATACCTAAAGATGAAGTTAATCTTGCTGACGATGAAATGCTCGTACCCGTTGCTCACTTTCACAAAGATGTATTTTCACCATTTGGAATTCCATTTATGTTTAAAATCAAACATGTAAGTCACGTATAATTTTTTGATGATTTGGTAATAACACTTGTTTTTATCATGTTGTTGTTGTATCAGTTCCTTAATTATAAATATTATTATACTTCAGAGGATCATTATTGGAGTGCCTAAAGGTAAAAGGGCGTATAATTTTTTTTTCGGCCAGTTTACAAAAGAACATATTCGTAGTTTAAAAATATGAAAAAAAAAACTTTCTGTGGTAGTAGCGGCGTAAAACCTCAACTATACAATTTTTTAAAGTTAAAAAAAAAAAATATATCGAAAAAACAATAAATTACGCGTGATTATTTTTGCGCTTTTTATTTTAAGAAATAGTTATTATAAAATTTGGATTCTGAACTCTTGATCATTATAAAACAGCTGTTGATACTCATAACAAATAAATTAAATAATCATATATTTGAATAGTAAAAACAATAACTCAGTCAAAAGTTGCTGATCACGTCTACACTCTGAAACGTTGCGTTAAACAAAAATTATTAACTTATTTGTCTGCTTCAATAATGATCCTCTGAAGTGTAATAAAACTTGTTTTTATATTATTAATTATTATATGTTTTATTTTTTAGGGTGAACCTTTCACAAAGGTCAAGGACAGGTTATTGAAAAAATTAGGCGTTCAGGAAAAGGAATTTGAGAAGGTAAGCTTGAACATTTGTTTGATAATAATATTTTATGAGAGTTCATAAAAACTTTAAAGTTTAAGTTCGCGATCGTGTCTATGGGGAAACCACAATTCATCACCGAGGAAGCAGACTATTACATCAATCTTGCCGAATTCCGAACTACTTCCAGTCAAGGTAAATTAGTCGAGTTTTTTTTTTTTTTTTTTTTTTTTTCTTTTCTTCAACAGTCCTCTATTATTATTTAAGGTCATTTTCGTTTATTATTTTTATTAAAAACGCAACAACAATTTATTATTACAGCATTGCAAAGGCCTTGGCTCGGTCTGGACCATGTTAACAAAGCCCCGAAGCGTCCACGAATCAACTACCTCGAAAAGGCCATTAAAATATACAATTAAATAGCCGGCCTGTGTAAGCGAACGATTTGGTCCAGGCAGCTAAACCCTTGTTATTTATACGAATCATTGTATAGTGGGCGCGGTATTGATGTCGTGAATGAGAAAAAAAAAAGTCTAAAATGAAAAAAATAAAAAAAAAATCGAGCGTGGAAGAGATTGGTGAACGAGAATAAAAAAAAAACGTACAAGAATATATTGAACACTGAAAAACATACGATAAATTTTTCGTCTAAGTACATAAGTTAAAGTTAAAGTTGGTTTTAAATTACTGTCGCTTTACTATTAAGCTAAATCACCGCAATTTTGTCGAATTTTTAATGATTGATATGCGATCATTAAAAATAAAGAGCTAATGATTAATTAATAAATATAAATATCTAAAAAGTTGATGTAATTTTTTACACGACTTCAAAGCGACACGATTTGTGCAAATCTTTTTAAAAATTATTGCCTATGTTTTTTTTTTTTTTTTTGTTTTTCTATTTTATTTCTTTCGTAATTGTACAAAAGTCAACATAACAGATCGATTCACAATTATTATCAAGATCAAATGTATCGTAGCAACATCATCAACATTATTACCACCACCGTCATCATGATGATTATTATATTATGAAGTCTTCAGCTGATTTTTCACAGATACAAATACTGCGTTTGCTCCACGACAACAGTCTCAAATTTTAAACACGGTTTGATACTTGAATTAAAATTAATTTCAAAATAATATAACAAGTCGTTTTGGAGAAAGTATAGTCGTGTTACTCAAATTTAATCGTGGAATTACATTAAAAAAAAAAAAATTAACTATTTAAATGAATAAGATAATCCTAGTATTTTTAAATGACAGATAAACTGACCTGGATGACAAAACCAAACAAATAATAAAAAAAAAATAAATAAATATATTTATAAATATATAAGTAAATATGAAAAGTACGATATTGCAAATTTGATGGCTCGTTACGTTATTCCGGCGACTAAGCAAAAAAAAAAAAATATAACGAATTAAATTTAAATGTAGTTAATAACGCGTTAGTGATTTATTAGTAACAATCATGAATTATAAAATAATAAAATTAATTGTAAAATTGCAGTCAGTTGATAACTTAAAATAAATAACGAATTTTAATCAATTGTCAAACGGTTTAAACTAATATTATTCAATAAAAATAGTTTATTAATCTATTAACGCCGGATACGATAACGATTCAATTGTTTATACAATAAAAAAAGTCTTTATTTTTAAAACAATATCACAATAGTTTTGAATTTTCTATAAGTATCAAGTCTACGTTCAGGATCATCACATGTTTTATATTATTATATATTTAAAAAGTATGATCACAACGTAAGCATTTTAAGGATTTTATATATATAAACCATTAAAAAAAAAAAAAAAATCAATTTAAATATGTATATATACAATCCTTGTATATGTTAAAAATGCACTGTTGTCAATTTCTCTTTTTGAAAAATTTTTTTTCCTTATTACTACTATTACACACAATATACTCTGTTAAAAAATAAACTAGACAATAGAAAATAAAAATTAAAAATCAATAATTAATTGAAATGAAAAATGCTATTTTATTTCTTTTAATGGAGCGTGTGTTTATATTACTGTCTGCATATAAATTAATTATTATAGACACTTGGCGGTTATAGAGTCTTAATATAAATTATAATAATAATAACATTAATAATAATAATAATAATAATAATAATTAACAATAATAAAATAAATGGAAGGAAGTAATATTTTATTTATAATATTTAAAGACTCTATTACATTAACGAGTAATGGATACTATCACATTATTATTATTATATATTGTATTCATAAATCATGTTACGTTATTTATATATATTAAATAAATAGATATTTTGTTGTCAAGATTGCGCTTGTAATCACCATCGTAATGAAACTAAATTTACATTCAAGTTAAAATAATTAAATAATAATAATAATAATGATTAAGTAATTAAAGTAATACGGTGATTGATGTTTAATAAAGTAAAAATAAAATAGACTAATTAAATTGGAGACAAATTTAACATTTGTTTTTAGTTTGAATAAGTTTTTGATAATTGTATGTTTTTTTTTTCGCAAAAACGCATAAGTCTTAATATTTTTTAAATTGTTTAAGTTATTATTGTATCATATTAACAATAAATAGATAACATTCAGTCATTTTCTACTCTTTTCTTAATGTAATACACTTTTAAGATACATAATGATTTATGTTAATTGTTTGAGTTACTATTTTGGTTATCGATACGTGCATGCGCATTTATTTTTGCACTCAATGTTACTATCTCTTACTATTAAATAGCAAGTTCTGTGCAAACTCTGTATAGTTGACTCATTTTTTATTAATTTTTTTTTTTACTTAGTATTTTTTTATTATATGACATTTTTAATTGTTTATATATTTATTTGTCAATTTTCATATCATTAAATAAATATATTAAATTACAAGATAATCTTTAAACTTTTAATCGTATTTTTGACCCTACTTTCAAGCCAACTAACTAGGGGGTAATTTTTTTAATTTAATTTTAATATTTCATAACTTATAAATAAGATTAATACTTTTTTTTTATTTATAATTGATAAGGAATTTTAAACATCGGAAATTTTTATTCGAATCAAAGTTTTTAGAGCAAGTTAATTATATTTTTTTTTTATTTTTTAAGAAGAAAATTATTGTTGATTTTATTAAAATTTATTAACAAAATATATTTGTTAATATTTCAGGTAAAATAAAGAGAAAGTTGAACTTAGAACTAGATCACGAGGGTAATTCTAAGAGAATGTTGTTTTACATGTTTTCCCGGTGAATTTTTTTTATCTGCAAAATCAATTTCTCTTATGAATTCTCCTGGCAACGGTAAACAACGATAAATTATCAAAAGCAAGTAAGTCTTTTGATTAATTATTTTGATAATTAAAAATTTTTGTTGTTAATAAAATTAAGAGACATTTGATAATTATTTTTTTAAGAAATAAATTATTGTTTGTTGACAGAAAAAATATTTCACACTAAAAAAATATTAACAAATTATTTAAAAAATAATTTATTTTTTAAATAAAATCTAAAAAAAAGTCATATGTCTGCTGATTATACTGTAATATTTTACTCGCAGTAATTAAATTTAGGTTATCTAAAACAAATATTACAATTGCATTTATGACACTGAAGCTAGCAGACGCTTAAAAATTTTTGATTTTTTTTTATTTATTAAATTACAACTAAAAAGATATTTTTAAAAAATTGCACTTATAGCTTTTTAAGTTTTTTACATGTGAAATTTTTTTTTTTAATTTTTTCAATAAAAAATTTCTAAAAAGTTTGAAATGTCGGCTAACTTTATTTTCATTTGCATTTTTGCATTTTATTTACAATAAAATGCATTTGTTGAACACTTTTTACATCTGAGAACTTTTTATTTCTGTATGCAAAGAAATTTTTGCATCATAAAAAAATTATGTATTGACATTTATAGGGTTATTTTATTTTAAAAAAAAAAAAAAAAAAAAAAAAAATGGTGACCAGATGGCCGAGTTTAAACATCTATGTCGTTCGATTGGCCGGAAATTCATTGATGAACCAACATAAGCCGGTAAAACGAGCATCTCAAGGTCGTGTAACAAAGTCCATGTTCTTTACTAGATCTATTGGTACATCTAGCACGTGTTTCAATAACGATGTAAGTATTTCACACATTTTTAAATTTTACCAATAAACATTTATTTAAATTATTGTTATTTTATATAATCACAATGTCATAAGTTGTTAAAAAAAACATTTATACAAATATTTATCCATTATTGTATGTTATCTTTAAAACATTAGAGATTATTATTTCGCAAAGTTCATTGCATCATTTACTTACCAACGTTTAAAATTGTATTGATAAATAAATTATACTTGATTGCAAGCTGTTCAGTTTTCACTTCGCGTTTTCCTGCGACAGTAATTAACTATTTATCTATTCATTTACTAATTTATTTATTTTCTGATTTTTTAAATAGAAAATGCCTGGAACTCTCCATCAAAATTTGTGGGAATCTGACCCAGAGTTGTTTAAACTTATAAAAAAGGAAAAACAACGACAGAAAAGTGGATTGGAGTTGATTGCCAGTGAAAACTTTACATCTTTGAGTGTCCTTCAGTGTTTGAGTTCATGCTTGCACAATAAATACAGCGAAGGGCTTCCTGGTCAACGGTAAATAATTTATTAAATACTTTAATTTTATTTTTCTAAGCATTCAATTAGATAGTTAATTAATTAACTAGCAACCTTGCAGTCACTATGTGACTGCCGTGATTTGTGAACTATAAATAAATAAAATTTTGCTTTATTAAATAATGACTTTTGTTAAATTGCACTGTAATTTTTTAAATATTGACATTTTTGAAGATATAAGCTCATCTTGATATTACACTCATCAAGAGCTTTCATTTGAGCACCCACATGGATTTCGATATATTTTTCATATATACATATATATATAATATGTATAAATATATAAAAAATTGATGTGGGTACTTAAATGAAAGGTCTCGATGTGTGTAACATTGGAATGAGCTTATATCTTAAAAAATATCAATATTTCACAAGATACAAGGTCGTTTCTTAATTATTGACATTTTTAAAGATATAAGCTCATCCCGATGTTACGCTCATCAAGAGCTTTAATTTGAGTACCCACATGCATTTTGATATATTTTTCATATATACATATATATAAAATATATGAAAAACTGATGTGGGTACTCAAATGAAAGGTCTCGATGTGTGTAATGTCGGGGTGAGCTTATATTTTAAAAAATGTCAATATTTGACAAGATACAAGGTCATTTCTTAATTATATGAAATTGCACTGTACTTTTTTAACTGTTGACATTTTTAAAGATATAAGCAAACTGATGTGGGTACTCAAATGAAAGGTCTCGATGTGTGTAATGTCGGGGTGAGCTTATATTTTAAAAAATGTCAATATTTGACAAGATACAAGGTCATTTCTTAATTAATGATACTGAAGTTAGCAGACGTCTAAAAATTTTTGATTTTTTTTATTAATTAAATTACAACTAAAAAGATATTTCTAAAAAATTGCACTCATAGTTTTTCAAATTTTTTACATATGAAATTTTTTTTTTTAATTGTTTAATTGAAATTTTTTCAATAAAAAATTTTTAAAAATTCTGAAATGTCGGCTAACTTTATTTTCATTCTTAATTATTGATATTTTTAAAGATGTAAGCTCATCCTTATGTTACGGTCATCAAGAGCTTTCATTTGAGTACTATACCCACATGCATTTTGATATATTTTTCATATATACATATATATAATTATATGAAAAATTGATGTGGGTACTCAAATGAAAGGTCTTGATGAGTGTAACATCGGGATGAGCTTATATCTTTAAAAATGTCAATAGTTCACACGATACAAGGTCATTTCTTAATTATGTATCTAGAATTTGAGCATTTTCGAATGCAGCCTAAATAATCATCATAAATTGACTATTGGTGAGAATGATATGAAACCTTGAAAAGGCACAACTCTAGGTCAGGACTTTTCCAACGACGCCAAATTTAACCATAAAAACCCATTTTATCATATAAATACACTGGCCATAAAATTTTTCTTATTCTCTTAATAATATAGATTAATTAATTACTTGTATGTAGATACTATGGAGGAAATGAATTTATTGACGAAATCGAACTGTTGGCTCAAAAACGAGCTCTTGAAGCATTTAATTTGGATCCTGAAAAGTGGGGTTGCAATGTTCAACCTTACTCTGGTAGTCCAGCAAACTTTGCTGTATATACAGGATTGATTGAACCTCACGGTAGAATAATGGGTCTTGATCTACCTGATGGTGGTCATCTTACTCATGGTATGTATTATTAACCAAATTCGTCAAATACATTTTTAAAACAAAAATTTTATTGGTTCAGATTTAAAAAGAAAAAATTAATAAATAAATTGACTTTTACAGGATTTTTTACTCCAACAAAAAAAATTTCTGCTACATCGATATTCTTCGAGTCTATGCCTTACAAAGTGGATCCATCCACGGGATTGATTGACTATGAAAAATTGGCCGAGCATGCAAAACTCTTTAAACCTAAAATAATAATCGCCGGAGTTTCGTGCTACAGTAGATGCTTGAACTACAAAAAATTCCGTGAAATAGCTGATGAAAATGGAGCTTATTTATTCAGTGACATGGCCCATATTTCTGGTCTAGTGGCAGCTGGAGTGATACCGAGTCCTTTTGAGTACAGCGACGTGGTTTCGACGACAACTCACAAAACTCTACGCGGTCCCCGAGCTGGTGTTATTTTCTTCCGTAAAGGCTTGAGAAGTGTTGGCAAAAACGGGGAGAAGATAATGTACGATTTTGAAAGTAAAATTAACCAAGCAGTGTTCCCAGGATTACAGGGTGGTCCCCACAACCATGCTATTGCCGGTATTGCAACAGCAATGAAACAAGCGAATACACCGGAATTTGTTAACTACCAAAAGCAAGTTATTGCCAATGCACAGCAGCTATGCAAGAGCTTACAATCTTTCGGGTACAAAATTAGCACTGACGGTACTGATGTCCACCTGTTACTCGTTGATTTAAGGAACACAGGAATAACTGGATCCAAAGCTGAGCGTATTTTAGAAGACATTTCTATTGCATGTAATAAAAATACCGTTCCCGGTGACAAGAGTGCTTTTAATCCAAGTGGAATTAGATTAGGTACTCCAGCACTTACTACTCGTGGATTGAAAGAAGAAAACTTTGAAGCTGTAGCTGAATTTATTCATCGTGGCTTACAGTTATCCAAAGAAGTTACGGCTAAATCTGGACCCAAGCTTGTTGATTTTAAATCAGTATTGGAGAATGATTCGGAAATAAAAGTCAAGGTCTCTGCGCTTCGTCATGAAGTTGAGAAATACGCTAATAAATTTCCGATGCCTGGGTTAGAAGAATACTAAAGTAATATTTTATAAATGAATTCAACTCGATTTTTCCATTTATTTTTCTTTATCATTCCCATTTTTTTTTTGTGTTTATAATATACGAATTTTCTTACATATTATCTTAAATACTTTTGATAATGTTGAATATTTCTATTTTTATACATAGAAATAAATAATTTTTGATACAGAAATAAAATATTTGATTCGTTATTTTTTATCAAGGAAAGCATTTAATTTTATTTCTATATTCACTCAAACTTTTTTTTTTTAATTTTAGATCTATTTGGTATTAAATACAAATCCTTGAATAACAACCGATTATATTATATACATTTGGAATCTAAAAAAAAATTCATTAAATAAATACTTCATTTTTACACAAGGAAGATTTAATTAAAACCTGGTAGGGTAAAAGACCCCATTACTGACACTTTCTTTAATTTTAGTACTTATTCAATTAATGAAATCATTAATTTATATTATTTCTAATCTTTGAGCCCTTTAAATCAAAAAAATTTTTAATTTTTATTCCAAGTACACGGAAAGAACAAGATGACACTGGATATCATCCCAGATTATACTCAGTGATATTTATGGTGAAAAAAAATTTCAGATAATAGCTAGAAAAATTCAGATACTGCGTGACACCTGAATTATGCTCATTGTAATTTGGATTATATTCGCTACTATCTGAAATTTTTTTTCACTCAGTATAGTTTGGGATGATATCCAGTGTCATCTTGTTCTTTCTGGCGTAGAACATTTTTTCATTAAAAAAAAAAAAAGTGCCACTAATAGGGGTTAAAGATGCCACTAATGGGGTCTTTTACCTTAATGCTATTTCATTAGTTTACATTAAAAGTACATGAGTATAATTATTATTATTATTTTTTTTTTAATATGTGACAGATAGAAAAATTCAATTTGCATTATAAGTAAACTAGTATTTCTTTCTTTTTTCACTAAATTACAAAAAAAAATTATCAATTCATTACATTGTTTTTTCTTTTCATATCAAGTAATAAGTATTTAAACAATATAATTACAAGTCACTAAATCCACATATTTATTTGTACATTGCATTAATCCTCCATGACTCTTGATTAGTCTTTAAATTATTATCGACTTTTACAAATAATTGCCTTAGTAAAGACAATTAAATAACTAAGCCAACTAAACAAACTTCTTACTCTCATAAATAAAGTTTACGCTTAATTCAAAACAGTCAGTAACAAATGTCGAAGAAGAATTAATTAAATATAAGAATAAAAATAAGAAAAACGAAATTAATTCATTAAATTAGCAATATATCAAATTAATTATTAAGTTTATTGTACCGAGGTTTATTGAACCCTCGATCAGACCAGCAGGACACAAATCCTTTATTTAGATCTTAATTTTAGTTATCGTGTACCTATGCATAAAACATCAAGTGCACATAATCGAGAATAACTCATACGAAAGTCATATATATAGGTTATAAATTTTATGTTTTTTTTTCTTTTCTTTTTTACAAACCAAGTAAAATATCTATATATCTATCTGTAAAAGTTATCCATCGACTATATTACACTGTAGCATGTAAGAAATCAGTCGAGTTCTTGGACTGCGTGTGAAGTAGAGGCATTATTGCTAGCTTGCCTTGATGTTTCTTCCCCATCAGATTCATCATCTTCGAGACCGTTGAAAAATGATTGAAGAAGACTACCAAAGAGTCCTTGTCGTCGTGAACGTGGAGCGGGAACGTCGAAAAATAATTGAGCTATTTTATCGAGGTATGTGCGGTAACTGGGATCTCTATTCAAACTCAACTGATATTGTTCACACAATACTGTAAACGCTCCAAATGATGACCTGGTGAATAAAATTTTTTTATTTTTTCTCTCTAGTTACATCAGATAGCAATTAATAAATTTATGATTAGTTACTTACAACTGGATTGTTTTAAGAAGAAAAAATAAAAAGTTCAACAAAGGTAATAGATAAGGAGGCTCGCTATTTATTTTTGGATGTCGTGATGTGTACGAATCAAAGGCCTCTTGTGCTGTTGATGCATTGTGCAAACATAAATATCTACAAGAAAAAAACATCCGTATTTAATTAATAAAATTATCAAGACTAAATTTAGAGGGTTTATGTTTATAGAAACAATTTAGAATTAAATTGTATCTCGGACTTTTTTTTAATTTTTGGCATACATTTATTTTTTTTTTTTATTTTTAATTTTTACTTTACCAAAATTTAATTTGTTTACTCCAAAATAAAAGATATTGCCAGGTGTCTGCTGCATTTAGTGTAGTATTTTTTTTATTGAATTTATATTAAGAAATCTATATTATTAAGAGAATAAGCACGATTTTGTGGCCAGTGTATTTATATGATAAAATGTGCCTTTTTATGGTTTCACATCATTTTTACCAATAGTCAATTTATGTTATTGATAAGTATTTAGGCTGCATTCGAAAATGCTTTATCTCTAGATACATAATTATGAAATGACCTTTTTTATCTTGTGAAATATTAACATTTTTAAAGATATAAGCTCATCCCGATGTTACACTCATCAAGACCTTTCATTTGAGTACCCACATCAAATTTTCATATATTTATATATATTACATATATGTATATATGAAAAATATATCAAAATGCATGTGGGTACTCAAATGAAAGCTCTTGATGAGCGTAACATCATGGTAAGCTTACATCTTTAAAAATATTTTGCCGGTCGTTATTTAAATTATGCTTCAACTACTTTCTGGAATTTATCTTCAATTGACCTCATTTATTATTTTATTATTTTTTATATATTATGCATTGACAATAAAGATAATCATTTTTGATTAGTATTAGTCAGGTGTAAATTATTTGGATACTATAAATGTGTAGGATCAATATATGCAAATTTATATTTAAATCGATGTTATAATAATTTAAAAGTACAAAATTCAAATAAAAAATTTTTTATACTGAAATAAATTTTTTTTTTAATTTGAATTTTTGATAAAATCTAAAAAAAAAAACTTTTGATTGTTAGCTTATATCTTTTTTTAATGTCCATATTTAAAAAAAAAATTCCAAACTAGCAATTTTTTGTTAAATTGCACTCTACTTTTTTAACTATTAGCGTTTTTAAAGATATAAGCTCATCCCGATGTTATACTCATCAAGACCTTTCATTTGAGTACCCACATCAAATTTTCATATATTTATATATATTACATATATGTATATATGAAAAATATATCAAAATGCATGTGGGTACTCAAATGAAAGCTCTTGATGAGTGTAACGTCGGGATGAGCTTATATATTTAAAAACGTCAATAGTTAAGAGATTACAGTGCAATTCAACAAAAGTTATTTAATAAAGCAAAATTCTATTTATTTATAGTTCAAAAGCCACGGCAGTCACATTTTTAATGTTCTAGATAAAACTACTAATCAAATCGAATCTTATATTACATTAACACGTTTTATCATATAGATAACATTGTCAATCGTTAATAAGCGATAGATTACTATTATTAGATTAGTCATGTCGTGTGATTAAAATGAAATCTAATGAAAAAAAAAATGAACTTAATTTTATCTTAAAACTTAAATAATTAATATTAATAATTAATACTGCCTAATTGAGTAAGTCTAGGTATAAAATAACTCACTGTAGGACAACTTGAGCGATAAAAAGATCAACTTCATTGGAGTAACCACGCTGCTGATGCAATTCTACAAGCATCGCTGCACATCCTGCACCATCATCACTGTACACAAAGTGCTGTCTTGCCATTGTATAATTTTTTTCTGTTGTAAAATGAACAGTTTAATGATAATTTCCAATATACAATATATAAATATAAAATAATTATAATAAAAATAAGCTACCTTGCCAAAAAACTTGAGCTATCATTTTATGTAATTCAGGATGTCCCCATTTACAATTAGTGTGTTTTAAACTCCATCTAAGTGCATTATGAAGAAATGTTTCTCTCTCAGGTGTACCCGGTTTCATAATACTGAATAAATTTGTTATCTTTTCAAAATAACTTGTCGGCTCTGTTGTTTCTGCTTTATTTAATACATCAATAAATAAAATTCCTAAATCAGCACCGCTTGCATGCTATTTAAAAATAACAATTATTATCATTAGTACTGAATTAAACATAAACATAAAATTAATGGAAATTATTTTTAAAAATCTATTTTCTTTTTAATATAATACTCCAATAAAAAATGTAATAATAAATACTTAAATACCTGATCACGTTGAAGTAAAAGAATGGCACCGTTGTAAAGTAACTCCAATAAATCCATGTACTTTTTTTTAGCAAGATATCTATAAATGAAGTTAAAGTTAATTATTCATTATTCATGAGTAAATAGTTCAACAATAACAACATATTAAATTCACAAACGTAAACAAAGTGACGTTTTTTTATTAACATATATTTAATGATAAATTACCTAAAATAAAGCGTTCTGTACATTTGGTGGGCTTCATAGTAATTACCAGAATTAACAGAAGCCTCTAATTTACCTAAAACCCTTTGGATACCTTGATTATATCTTGAGGCCATATTTTATCGAAAATAGCAGAAAACGAGTACGTGGGATAGTTTTAGATGTCACGATTGATGTCCTTGATAATATTTCTTGAATGTTCTCCGATTATTCCTTTTCAAGATGTGCTTGTGCTTCATCAAATTTTATACACTACTTTTTTTACGATCACATTTACAAATACTAATTTAATAATAATAATAACATACACGTATTTATGTATTGTACAACCACGAATTTATTATCGAAGAGTATCGGATAGAGAAGAAGCAACCGATAAGAACCAACGTTAAATCGTAGTATATACGAGTTTCAGCGCCTCTATTGGGTAAACCTTTAAAGAAAATTTGAAATTATCATTACAACCGGAATTTAATTTAAAGATTATCAATTGTGTTTTATATGGCGTCATTTGATTTTGATGTTTGAACACAAATATTGGAAAAATTATTTCACGTGTAATAAAAAATTATTTAAAAAAAAAAAAATTTGGGTACTGAAACCAATTTCAAATTTTAAATAATAATAATAAAGTTAGCCGACATTTTTAATTTTTTGAATTTGCTTCATTTATTAAATTATAATTAAAGAATATTTTTTTTAATTTGCACTTACATTTTATCAAATTGTCTACATGTCAAATTTTTTTTTTTAATTGTTTGTAATAATTTTTTTCAATAAAAAAAAAATTAAGAAAATCTTTAGATGTCAGCTAACTTAATTTTCATTTTTGAATCATTCTATCATAAAATCTAGAAAACGCTCTTCTCCAACTAAACAGTTATATGACACTGAAGTTGACAAATGAAAATTAATTTAGCAGATATTTAATAATTTTTGTAACAAATAAATTATGGCAAAAACAAATTTTTTTTTTATTGATATGTACAAATTTTAAAAAATAAAAAATGCAATTTTTATAAATAATTTTTTGGAACAAATTTGTATGATAAATAAAATTAAAAAATTGTAAAGTGACAGCTAAATTTAATGTTATAGTTGACAGACATTAGAATTTTATAGCAATTAAATTATTGTAAAAAAAAATTAATTTAAAAATTCCACATGTAAAAATTTATAAAAATTATAAGTGAAAATTTTTAGAAGCATTTTTTCATTGTAATTGATTTGTTAAAAAAATTTTTAAAGTTGACAGCTGACGGCTAACTTCAGTATCATATATAATAGTTATTCAGATTCATGCAGATATTGATAATTTCCAAATAAGGGATATTTTATAATTTTTTTTATCAAAAAATAATATTTTCATGAAAATTAAATTAGCCGAGATCTTAAAATTTTAATAATTTATTTTATTGAAAAATTCTTTTAAAAAAAATTAAAAGAAAAAATTTCACATGTAGAAAAATTAAAAAATCACACGTGCAATTTTTTAAGAATAATTTTTTAGTCTTAATTTAATTAATAAATAATTGTTAAACGTCGGTTAACTTTAGTATCATATATTTTCTGTGTTATTGACAGAGAGAGAGCTTAAATTTTTTTTAAAAACTTCATCAGCTGTGAGAAGCAGCGCTGGTGGTTTGTGACAACACGTAATTGTTACGTCATCAAAATCGCCTCACCAGTGCTTCATCGACTTACTTGTTATCATTATTTCATTATTGTGTATTTAACTGCGTGATCGTGAATTTTGCCGGTGTTCTCGTCTTCAGTTGGTTCGTCCTGTGTTGAATAACAAGTACAATTAATTATTAGTTATTTTTTTAATAATTACAATCAAAAAGTAATTTCAACACAATGGCTACTATTATCCGTGAAGAATTATTAAAAGAATTTGGTTTCTGGAGTACGGTGCTCGTCGTTAAAATTTTGATGATGGCTGTTCTTACTGCACGTCAACGTTTTGCTAAAAAGGTATAATATATGTATAAATTAGATTAGCCGACATTTGAAAATTTTTAGAATTTTTTTTTATTGAAAAAAATTACAAAAAAATTTTTCATTTATAAAAAACTTGAAAAACTGTAAGTGCAATTTTGAAAAAATATTTTTTTGTTCCAATTTAATTAATGAAAAAAAATTAAAAACGTCGGCTAGCTTTAGTATTATAAATCTATAATTAATAATTATTCTTTATTATATTATAAAGTTATTAAATAATATGAATGTTATAGAATTAATGAAAAAATTTTAAAATTTTAGGTCTTTGCAAATCCTGAAGATCGCATGGACAAATCCTCTAAGATAACTACCGAAGACCCTGATGTTGAACGTGTTCGTCGCGCGCATCAGAATGATTTGGAAAATATTCTGCCCTGGTTTGTTATGACACTCATTTGGCTCACAACCGGACCTTCAAAGTTCCTCGCCGTGACACTTATCAGAACCTTCACGTTTTCTAGAATAATTCATACCATAGCTTACGCTATTTTTGCTGTTCAACCTTACAGAGCAATTGCATTTTTTGTTGGCTATGGAATCACCATTTACGAAGCTATTTCTACGTTGATTTATTACAGCGCTTAATTTTTTACGTTAATTTTATTGTGATGAGTTCATACGTGATGACTTTCACATTTTAGCGTTTTAAGAGTTGTCTATTTTTTTAATGAAGCACGATGAGATAGAGATTAATTTTATAAATGTTGAAACTTTAGATTATTTTAATATCAAAGTTTTATATTGTATAGTTAATATTTTTTTTACGCACTGATAAGGAAATTGACTTTAATACTTTAATGTAATCGAATATCTTTATCTTGAAATTAAAAAATAAGAAAAATCAAATTAATATTGGGTTTATTTTATCATATTTTTTTAAGTAATAACAAGTAATTTTTTTTGCAGGATAAAAAAGATGGCTATTATACATATTTTTAAAGGCATTCATTAGGAAAAATAGTTTTATGTAAAACCGGTTTATGAACGATAATCGATTAATTTTTTAGAAAGAACAAAGTACAGTTAAAACAACTATATTTACATAATATTAATAAATACTTATAAAGTCAATAAGTTTTATTCAAGGTTTATATATTTTTTATTATTGTTGATAATTTTTAGATTTAATTGATAAATTTTGCATTTTCAATTTAAGTTTTTATCAGTTGATATCTAAAGAATGTTAAAGTTATTTTATCAACCATTTGAAATCACTTGTTTAAAAAAATTAAACGATAGATTAATTTTGCTCACTATAATTAATTATTACATGTTTCACACCAAAAAATTGAAATATTGCAAAAATTTATAAAAATTCAAGCTTTAATATTTCATAAAAGTATTTTGATTTTTCAAAACAAGATTCTATTGATATTTATAAAATATTATATTAAGGTAGTTGGATTCCGCAAGGCATATTTCAAGAAAATTATAAAATTTTTTTTATCGAAAGATAAATATATTAATAATTCACCACCAAAATTTCAGATCAATTCACCACACCGTTTTTGAATAATTAATTTTGGTAATTGCATCATTTACACGCAGAGGTATAGAGAGATGGTAAAGTTAGTATGAAACCTCCCGTACCACTCGAGTGATGCAAATAAGATTTTATAAGTTTACAAAGAAAATATTTTTTATATTTTTATGAGTTATTTTATCGCCGATTAAAAGACACTTGTCAAATGTTAAATAAAAGATAATATGATCTTCAGTATCGAAAAATTAATTAAATTTACTTTCAAAATTAAGAAATATTACTGAAAAAATAAAATAAAAATTTGAAAATTAGTAGTCCATCAGTTGATCTCACTTTAAGAGCGTATACTAAAAAAAAAAAAATTAATTTGATTCAAGAAAAAAATTCTGGGTTAACCCAGAGATTTTTGATCCTGAGCGGTTCAAAGATGATAAAAAACAGTCTGTTTTTTTATCTTTTGGTGATGGCTCAAGAAACTGTGTAGGTATGTACTAGATTTGGAATTTACCAATCTGCTCTCGGGATTATTTCTATCTTAAAACACTTCCGAGTTTCACCTTCTGAATTTTTTCAAGTTCCTTTCAAAATTAACAAAGTAGCTATGGTTTTATCAGCTGTCGGCGGCATTAATTTGAAATTTGAACCACTAACTTTATAAAAATATATTCTTCATAATAAATATACTTACATTAAACTAAACGTATTTGTTATTATACCTTAATTTATTTTGATATAAATAAAATAAAATATACTTTAGTTAGTTAATGAAGTCCGTTTTACGAAAAAGTAACGGCGTATTTTTTTTTTTAACATTTCTTAGTCCAAACTGGGATTTATTTTACTTATCAAAAATATTTAAATCTCATTTTTATAATCCCTGCGAAATCTTTAAAAAATTTATTTTATCAGCTGTTGAGATTTAATTGAAAAATTAATCTACGTATTATTGAATTTCCGAAATGTGAAGAATTACAAAATATTTACAAACGCTTTATCGTTTTCGGGTATAAATGACAAATCAATGATTTTATATTAATTTCATTTTAATAAAATAATCTTTACATTATATAATAATATTTTCTTTACGCCTCACAAATAACTTAAGTGTATAATCATCGAATAACTCATATTAAAATTTACATTGTAAATTATGAAATTAATTTTATAGAAATAAAATTAACAATTGTGAATTTTTTATAAAACTTTAAGTACTTTTAACAAGCAATAAATTAATTTAACTGAAAATTATAAAACTTTTCTACGCATTGATTCCAAAACAAAACATCTTATCACTACTTAATCAATATGTATAAGCTTGCATTAAGCGATTTCATAAGTCGAATCATATATTTACAGGATCAGAATTATTTACTATATTCAATTGAAGCTTAAAATACACCTGATAAAAGTTTAATAACAGATTAACCAAATTGACTTTGTTTATTACTGAAAAGGATTTACTGACATTGCTGTCGTAATCCTGGTTAAAAATATTGATTCTTTTCAAAAAAAATATTGAATTATTTTCAATTATTTCAATTTGTTTGGTTTGTATATCTCGATATACAGTTTGCATGGAGGGACCGCTTCTCAATTCTTTTCAATCAGTATACTTAACCAGGGTAAGAAGAAATTGAAAATTGAAAAAATTAAATTCACAGCGAGATTTCCGTGAGTTAATTTGTGTTAACGATTAAAATGGTTTTAATTTTTATTGTTTTCTTTTTTGTTAAATGTTAGGTATTAAAAGTATTTTTTGAAAAATAAGAAAAAAATTGATAAAATGGAATTCGGGATAATTGAAATATTAATCATTATCACTGGAATTATTTTTGGTGTTGTATACTGGTCGACCCTTGCGCATAATCATTGGAAGAATTTGGGTGTTCCAGGCCCAAAACCAATCCCACTGATTGGAAACATGGGACCTTTACTCTTTGGACAAATGTCATTTGTTGATACATGTCACAAAATGTACATGGAATGGAAAAAAGAACCGTATTTTGGTATCTTTAGCGCACACGTACCAGTTCTGATAGTTACCGACATGAATTTGATTCGTCAAATTTTGATAAAGGATTTTCACATCTTCCCCAGTCGCGGAGTCGTCTTAAATGACTATGATCCGCTATCGCACAATTTATTTAATATCTATGGTCATAAATGGAAAGTATTGAGAAGCAAAATCACACCCGGATTCACAATAGGTAAAATTAAACATATGATCAAATCAATGACCGAATGTGCAGGTCGTTTTGAAAACTATCTTTTTAATCAAGTCGGCAAAGGCAAAGTACTTGAATGTTCTTCACTTGCGGGTAAATATACAATGGACGCCACCATTGCTTGTGCATTTGGTGTTAATATAACTTCAATATATGAAGATGACAATCAATTCGAAGTTATAGCAAAACAGTTATTTAAAGCGAGTATTTGGAATTTGATGAAGCAAATGATAAGTGTAGCTGCACCGGGACTCTATAAATTTTTGGGGTTGAGGATATTGTCTGAAGAACAATCAAATTTTTTTATCAATTTCATTAAACAAACTATGGAACTTCGAGAAAGAGAAAATGTTGTTCGAGATGATATTATTGATATTTTGATAGATATGAAAAAAAATCAGCAAGATTTTGATTTTGGTAAGTTCATATTCAATCTAATAAAATTTATATAAAATAATAATAATCATTTATGTGAGTGAAGAAGACAAAAGTTAATTTATTCAATTATTAATAAATAAAGAAATAATTGAAGAATTCTAATTCTAAAAAAATACACTTGCAGATTTTTCAATTTTTTAAACGTGAATTTTTTTATTTTTTATATTATACTATTAGCAAACATTTCACAATTTTTAAATTATTCTTGAAAAATAAACTAAACATGGAAAATTATTTTTATAAAATCACATTTATAATTTTTTAGAGTTACTAAAAATGGAATTTTTTTAATAAATTTTTCTTGTCATAATTTATTTGTTAAAAAAATTATAAAAATTATTAGATGTCTCTCAATTTCAATGTCATTTTTTCTGTTTGTTAATATTTTACTAACTTCAAAAAAATACTTATAATTACTTACAGTAAATAAATACTAAAAAAATACTTACAATTATTTTAGAGTCAACGGATTCTTTTTTGGCGTCTCAAGCATTCGTCTTATTCGTGGCTGGGTACGAAGCGCCTTCATCAACTATTTCTTTTGCGCTTTATGAACTAGCACTTGCTCCTAAAGTTCAAGATAAAGTAAGAACTGAGATCTTTGAAGTGTTAAAAACACACAATGGTCAATTGTCTTATGAAGCTATTAACGAAATGGAGTATCTCAAAATGGTTATTTACGGTGAATATTTTAAGTTTCATTACTTTTAATTTAATTTTGTATTATTCCTATTGAATTTCATAAATTTTACAGAAACATTGAGAAGAAATCCACCAGGTCCTTTGATGGTTAGGAAAGCAGCTCAGGACTACAAGTTACCTGGAAGTAATGTAATACTTCCTGCAGCGACATTAATATCTATTCCAACTTACAGTATTCATCACGATGAAAAATACTTTCCTAATCCGGAATTTTTCGAGCCTGAACGATTCAAAGCTGATAGAAAGCCTTCAATGGCTTACTTACCGTTTAGTGATGGCCCAAAAAGCTGTATGGGTGTTAAAATTGCAATTTACCTATCTGCGCTTGGACTTATTTCTGTTTTAAAAAATTTCAGAGTCTCTCCTTCAAAATTTTTGGAAATTCCTTACAAAATAAAAAAAACTGGATTTATTTTATCAGCTTCTGGCGGAGTCAATCTTAAATTTGAGCCAATTATGGATGTCAATTAATTGTTAAATTTATTTTGATTTTTATGTACAGAAAAAAAAAATTAATTGAATTAAGTAAATAATTTTGAAGAACTTTATCTTCTTGAGTAGATTTGAGTGGAAAAATTCTTAAATTAAGAAATTTTTCTTGGTTTAAGTAAATTTTACTTGATTCAAGAATTTTTCGTCTAGATTCAAGTTAAATTTTTTTTCAGTGTACAATTTAATATTTTTTTAATATGTTTTTAACTTCCCGCTAAAAATCTCAGATTTTCAAAAATCGGGAAATTATTGTTTTCACCCCGTTTTACAAAAATCGAGTTTTCATCAGATCTCGACGTTTGAAGGTCACAGGAAGCTTCCCTGACTATTTTTACGATGATGTCCGTACGTCTGTGTGTGTGTGTGTGTGTGTGTGTGTGTATATGTATGTATGTAAACCTCTTGTAACTTTTGAACGACTTGACCGATTTCATCGCGGTTGGTGTCATTCGAAAGGGCTTCACTGAACTTAGATTTCCTGAAAATTTGAACCGATTCGGACCGGTAGATTTCGAGAAAATGCAAAAAAAGTGAAAAAAAAAAGTTTTTTTTTTTCATTTTTTTTAAATACCTCCGATTTGGCTGAACCGATCGGTCTCAAAAACTAATCAGCTCTCAACCTTAAAAAACCACGTCGATTGCCGCCAATCCGGTCAAAATCGGTTGATTCGTTCAAGAGATATCGTGAACGAAAAAAAA